CGGGATAATTTCACGCGGCCTTTGTAAGTAACTAGTACAGGGGGTAACTTTCTGAAGAAACAGTAGTGTTGTGTCAGTGGGGTATCACAAGAACATTTGGTTTTGAGTTAATAATGTAAATTGGATACCGTAAAGAGTTTCTAAAGCTGACGTTTCGATTCGTTCATCAGATCGAGCGAATAGAGGAATTTTGGGTTGTGTGTGTTATATGCAGATCTTGCTTTCTTACCCGACAACGGTCGGTAACGTTTACGGTCAGTTAGACAGAGACAATTGATTGACTAGTGATTTTTCTTGGTAAATTAAACTGGGTAGGGCCTTGAGAACGTCATCTCAATGGATAGTTACATGGTTCTCATGCGTAAAAGTCCGATTTGGTAGTAATGTATATCATTAAATGCCAATATTACCTGACAATCTGATTAGAGAAAGCTTGTTTATAAGGGAAAAACCTGGGCAGAAAGAAAAGGAGATAGCATAACACAAAATCCTACCCTATCGTCGCCTTTATGTCGAATAACCAACCCTCTTGGCACTGCTAGCTCCTCTCTATCATCAAAGCTGTTTTTCAAAAGAATGTGTTTTTTTTTCTTATTTCCCGAATTTTTCTTCAGATGTACAAATCATCATCTAAATTTAGTAATTGAGCGGTTATTTTTAGTGGTTTTTTTTTTATTATTTTTTTCCGGCTATCGCGGCTTAGACTTTAGACCCTCAACTTCAGTTCAACTAAAGCGTAAACTCGTCATTAATAATTCTTGTTCTTCAATTTCTCAGCAATCCTTTTTCTTCGCGATCGGTTCTCCAATTTATCACATTGTTTGACATCTTAACTTGCTTTGGTTCCAAGTATTGACTAGCACAATTAAATTAAGTGAGCACCATAGCTCGTCGCGTATGACGTAATTGGTTCAGTTTAACCCTTTCACCTCCAAGATCTCATTAGTAATTCAATTTACTGTCTGACATACAATTGTTGTAATGTTAACTCGGTGAATTTGGTAATGGATCAACTAATAGTCCCGTTTACCTTGACCAAACCTCTTGGGAGCGTGTCAAAAATCTGCGTTATTCTTGGCGTAACAGAACTTTACTTTTGAATAGGTTTGAAAAAGGATAAGTACTCATTTGAAACAATATCATTCAGTCTTGCAAGTCAAGAGAAAATGAACACCAGAGAGGTGGTACGAATAAACCGAAAAAAAGAGATGGTTACAATTTCACTAGGGCCCTATTAGATATTTCTCGTTATTCTCGTTACTTCTCTACTTGATATTGTATTGATACTGTAAGGAAAAATTCTGTCTTGGTCACTCAGGGAAGTTAATATTAAAGGTTCGTTTAGTTTTAGTGACCCTGGTAACAACAGTGAAATTGTAACCATCTCTTTCTTTCAGTTTATGCACACCACCTCTTTGGCGTTCATTTTCTCTTGACTTACAAGACTGAATGATATCGTTTCAAATGAGTACTTGTCCTTTTTCAAACCTACTCAAAAGCAAAACTCTGTTACGCCAAGAATGACGCAGATTTTTCACACGCTCCCAAGTGGTTTGGTCACGGTAGACGGCTGTTCTCTCCTTATTAAGAAGCACATGGCTTTATTCCAATACAAATTGACGTCACATTACGCTGAAGCACTTCTAATTAATTCTATTGATGTGAAATCTTCGATCCTTTGCTTAGTTAGCAGTATCGGTTTCCATATAAGCTGCTTGGTCTTGTTCGGTATCAAGATATTGATACCGGAAAACATCAAATCATTTTATATGATTTTTGGCCTGTTTCGGACTTTTGGAGTGCTCATTTCCACGAAACCCTCCCTCTTCCCCAGTCTTCTCTCTACTTTTAAAAGTTAACAAAAGCGCACGAGAGTTGCGGATGGGCGAAAGATGGGCATTTCGACCGCTGGACTATCATGTTTCCAGACCTAGATTCAAAGCCATGTCCCCACCAACAGCTGTTCTGGATAAACTGAAGGTAGCATTGGTGTTAGAATAGCGAAAGACCCACGAGTTTTAAGATGTCTTGCCACGTGAGTGTATAACGAAGTGAAATCGTAAAATATATATGCCAACTAAACTTGGGCCGCAATGATTAAAACTGATGAAAATTGAAGGCCCTTCCATATCTCTGGCTCAAACCCAGTGCTGTCGAACGAAAAAGGAAGCCGCCATGCTCTTCATGCTCGTCACCAGTCTCACGCCTCCTATATTTTTTGTTGGTTAAACACGAAAGCACATTGCTTTAAAACATCATCACCAAAGACTTGAAAGGAAAGAAGAAACCGTAAAGAGCAAATAAGTGCATTTTATTCCAACCACCAAAAAGGAAACTTCTTATTTTGCGATTGGGAGGCCTGTGCTAGAAGAATAAGAATTGAACGCGCATGCGGGTGAGAGAACCTGTCCCATGCGTCATCCAGTGCCAATCCATTCTCGGCTTTGAAACCGGGGTAAAGTTTCCAATGTGAGCGACAGAAAGAATTCAACTCGTTCATTGAACTCATAAAGGAAGTCCGTCAGTTGCACGATTCACTCCCAGACCAGGCGAAATTTCTTCCGTTTTCTTGTCTTTGAAAAACAGTGTTCAAACGTCTGCCCATGTGCAGACGTTGCTAGAGCTGAGAGGGCGTACTTTCAGGCTGTGAGAACCAAATTGACCCACAGGAGTTACAACAGACCACTATAGTCAGCTAGTCACTATGTTTAAAGGCGCGGAAAACTGTTTAGGTAAAGCTCAAAACAATATGTTGAAATAACTGGGTTTGTATTCGAAAAATATAAAGTTTTCCTTCTCCCTTCTTTTGTTCGCCTCTACAGATTAATTTCTGTAAACGTTCCTATTTTTTCGCATATTGTTCTTGATCCTTGTTGTTTCGTTTGATTCCTTTGAATTTATGCGCGGGAAAATAGCGCGCGGCCAGCCAAAGTAATCTAGTTGCGCATACCTAAAGTTTGACCGCGTTGATTAAAAAGACGGGCGCGCGCGTGGGCTCATTTACTCATATCTCCTCAGAATGAAACTTTGGTATGTAAAAGCTACATTGATATTCTGTTGACGAGAAAAATTTTTACCTTGTGGTCCATTAAATTACAAGTTAATTTTAGCGATTTTATGGCATACCATACAGGTTTTTCGAAGCGAGAATTGCTTGACCTGAACTCGTTTCAGGCCACTCTCGGGTTAGAGTCTGGACCAGTCCTGCCCTGGCCTTTGCATCCCCAAAAGGTTCTCGGGTACTACGATCAACTTGTTCAGATTTTTTCTTCACCAAAAATTCACACAATAAACTCAGTAAATTTAAGACACCTTTAATAAGACCCTTGATAACATGCAATTAAGACTACACTAAACAAATTATGAAGAACATGACAAAAAAACTACATCAGTAACACACTAAGAGTTTAGAATTTAGAAATTGATCAAACTAAGTTTAAGTTGTACCTAGTTACCAAGATGCATCAATCAGTTTTTTGGGACAGAAACTGTCTTTGGCTATGCAAGCATCCATACAAGCAAAAATCTGCTGCAATTTGAATCTCCATTTATCCTAGTCTGTATTACTACATCCAATCCTTCTACAGCCAAAAAACAAATTTCCCACATTGAAGACCAGATTGAAACAGTAAGATTACTATGCTACCCTCCAGCACACAACGATGCCTTCACTGCGGCTGTCTTAAACAAGGTGAGGTACCACGAGTCTGGAAAGGTGCTGAAGTTGACATCTAATCATCTCAACTTCTCTAGTGGATGTATAATAAAAGAAACTGATTAACAATCTCTCTGCATACTTGATTGCTGTGGTCTTAAAAAGCCATGCACACAGCCAATGAACTACCAAAGATGTTGATAACAGAATTTATAGTGATGTTAATTATAAATAAGCTAACCAACATTGACTAAGTGAGTGTGAATAATAATAAAAAAAAAAGCCTATAGCAAGGGTGAATTTTAAAATCTTAACCAGAAAAAGTTAAGTCCTTAACAATTGACAATTGCCTAAAACTGTCCAAGGTCAATCAAAATGCATGCTTTTTAGCCAAAACAGCTATTAGAAGGAAACTGAACCTTCTAAATATCTAATTGTCTTCTACAGACAACCGTACATGATTATAGTAATCATGGTCATTATTGTGAAAAAGTCCATACAGGGGTTTTGATAATAAGGAAGAGACTGAGCTAAATAAACCCTAATCAACTAACCAAATACAGATACACACGTGGTGTATTAGAAATTTATGTAGTAAACTGCTAAAGACAGAACTCCTTTAAATATCAAAAAGTTGATAAAACATGAATAATTTTTATCAAATATTTCTCATCCAGTAAAAAATTGACCAAATGTGTATCTGCTTTAGACTAAACACATTGGTGATCTAAACAAATGCAAAAAATTTAACACCTTAAATTCAATGAAATTACTGCTATTGAGAGGCCACTGATCTGATAGAATAGTATAAACTTAAAGCTTGTTAGTAAACTACAAGGCTCACAAAAAACCTTGAAAAACACAGTAAATGCTGCCAGCCTCAAAACATAGAGAGAATCTGTCTGTCTGGTTTAGTCTAACCATCAGAGAATTCTCTCCCATCATAAATTTACCTAATCAATGCTTAATTTTTAATTAAAAAAAAAACATTACTAATAGTGTGACTCTCAAATTTTGAAATTCAAATCTAAATGCAATCCAGAAGAGAACTCCTTGAGCATGAAGGCTGAGGTGTTTTTTGTTGCAAATAGAAACCAAACTGTCCAGTTCACTATCTATTTGATGTTTCTAATCACTGCAAATTAAATATTTTGGTTCAAAAGTTTGGAGAAACTAGAAAAATCAGTTCAAGAGAATTAGTCTAAGGAATATGGTAATTAAGACAATCAAAAACAAAAACTACAGAGCAAAACTTAATGAAAATGATAGACAAAACACTACATTGTGCCACATTAGTGTGGCAAAAAAAGAAACTCCATCATTACATCCTTGAGTGCAAACAGATTTTGCTTTTTAAAGTTTTTAAATTTAGTGCTTCACCCTTGCTTAATTTCAATACGAACTCTTCCTGTAGCACCTCGGTTAAGACGGTATGTTTCGGATTTCTCAATATTTTTGGCGTTGGCTTCACAAAGAAGCACTGCCTTTTGAGTGCTGTTGACTTTGATGGCAGCAATTGGGGGAAGCCAATTTTCTTCAGAGAGATAAGGGTAAAAATTAGCAGCAAAGCCAGGCTTGTCTGTTGGGTAGATTTCCAGCTGATCCTATAAAAGTAAGACAATAAATGAATGAAAAAAATAAATAGCAACAAAAATGCATGTCAATAAACTGATACAGCATTACTGTGTTTAAAATGATTCTTCAGTACTGCACCTTGCATTCTGTACTGTGCATAAAAATGCGATAAATGCATATGCATTTCAAGAACACATAATTGTTTTTAATCAATGAACTAAGTAAAGAGGTAAGATGGTCCTCAGCTGTAAAACAAGCACATTGACCTTCAGTTTTTATCGCATAATTTTGGTGTACAAATTATCCCCTTTAAATTGGAGGAAAAAGAAGGAATTATCAAAGGGAGAAATTGATAGAGCTAAAAGCATTCATGAAGCCCATTCCTTGATGACACGAATTATAACCTTGAAAGCACAACCCAAATAATGTTTTGAGTCAATGTTGTTTATAATTGTGTGCTTTTTCTGTAAATTATGTAATAATTGTTCCAAATGCTCAAAACTTTCTACCTATCAGTTTTTTTAGTTAAAATCACCCAGGGCATCTCCCAGAGGGACAAGCAGGATAAAAAAAACAGAACTTCATTTAATGCAGGCAAAGCATTGAAACATGTTACTAAAGTCTTCATTAATTTGAATTCAATGCTCCACTAATTTCAAAAATCATTTTTTGAGTGTCTGCTGACCTTTCCTTCACTCTAACCACAAATGAGCATTTTAGCTTGTGACATAATTAATGCCAATTGTGGGTCACCAAATGGGTGACCTTATCTGCAAACTTAGTTTCCATGCTCTTTTTACTACTTGCTGCAGCCACCAGTACAGTTTGCAGTCCTCTTAAAAGCTCATGAAACATTTGATTCACTCATACTGATATGTGTACAAAGTTTGACTTACCTCACGGCCCTTCTCCTCAAACTTGCAGGCCAGCTGCACATAATCCAAGCCATCGTTAGGTTCAGGGACCCAATCGAACACCTAGAGAACACAACATCTTTAAGATCACAGTATAAAAAAGACAAGTCCTAAACCTTGGTCAAGGTACACAGTAATCCCTACCAAGGCAAAAGACCCAAACATTTCTTCTGAATGATTGCAGATAAAAGACCCTGTTCATAGAATATTAGTTCAAATGATTTTTACCAGTGAGAGAACCAAAAGGAGAGAGGCCTTTTAACTCCTGGCAGTGATTAAGTTGTTACATCTAATTCTCCTTACAATATCAGTTCTACTGCATGCTCAGGAAAACAAAACACAGTTAAAACTTCATATAAACTGTGTTATCTTATATTAAGTTCTCTCTGCTGGCAGTCATGGAAGCATACTGCTAAAAAAGAGGAAAAACTAATATTTGGAGTTACAAGTATGTGCACAAATAAATTTTACTCTAACACTGAATCCAACTCTGTATATCATGTTCAACAGAATAACAGGTTTCAACTTACCCTATTCATCTTCATAAAGATGCAGGGCTTTTCCTCATCATAGCCATATTTAAAATCAGTGCTATTGCTATTGTCATAGCAAGGACCAAGAGCAGAAAGGTCCACATTACAAGGCTTGGAATCCTTGGTACGTTTGGCATCTGTACAGTTCTGATACTCGTCACTTTCAAGAGCTTCCTTGTAAGCTTGAAAGCAAAAAATGATACATAAGTACTAATGTTATACAGTTCTTTTAAGCCAGTTATGATTTTCTGTAATAATAAATAGATTCCTGGAACAACTAAAATTACACAATGCACTATTCAAAGAGCCAACTCTCTCATATTGTAACTATCATGCTACGCTAAAAACTATGGATATGTTCATCCTCCCACCAAAAAAGGTTTATGGATTTAGACCACCACCATTTTAAGTTTCAGTTTTCCTCTGGAAAGGGTAAAATTAGTTTTCTTGGAAAGGTTTAAATGTTTTATCATCCAGACAAACAATGTCATGCCTGACAAGAGCAATAACCTGAGATCTATGCTCTAACCCTTTCATGTCCAAGATCTCATCAATAATTCTCCTTACTGTCTGCCAGACAAGTCCTGTGATGCTAATTCTGAGAATTAAGTACTGAGTACCTGAAAATTCAGGTACTGAATCAACTAGAAAATCTTCAAACATACATTTTTCTATGTTCTCAGCACCTGTTTGATTGATATTGTATTGATATTGTAAGGAGAAATTCTATCTTGATCTCTCATGGGAGTTAAAGGGTTAACCTGTACAGTAACTAACAAAAACCCAAACATTCTAAAACCTACCTTCTCAACTTCAATTTTTAATTCAAAAAGCACAGTGCAGAGGTGACTAGAGTTTGAATGTCTAATGTTATTAAACTACTACAGGTTTTGTGATCAACATCAATATTTGTTTCATGCCCCTTTTTGTGTAGTGCAAGATAAACATAATAGCTTAAAAAATGCTTCATCCAAAAACTCTACAAATATACTGAAATATACTGTAGTTTTTTCAGTTTCTAACTGTTTTTTCTTTCTGTCTTTAACACTGTCTATCATATTGGATACCTGGTTCTCCTCTCTCTTATAAATCTATTTTTGGCCCTACTGCAATTCTTATAATGTTACAAGAACAACAAAGTTCCATTTATTAGAACATACAGCGAGAGAGATTTTAACCCTTTAACCCCTAAGAGTGACTAAAATCTAATTCCTCCTTACAATATCACCACTGAATCATACATTAATGTAAAGAGAATAAAGGAAATGATCACCAACTAAAGAAACTCTTGATTGTTAGACAAGTTTTCCTTGTCAGCACCTCAGTAAATGTACAGAGAACAGTAGGGAGAATATGAATTATGATGTTAGGGTGTGAAGGGTTAAGCAAATAACAAAATCCATAGTAACTTACGTTCCAAGAATTTATTGATTTGGTCCACAAATGAATCGACATCTTTGTAATTTTTTATTTCATAGAATGGGATAGGAATAAGGCCTAACAAGGAGACAAAAATAACAAAAGAAGAACTGTTAATGAAGCATTTTAACTTGTAGAGCATCTAAGCTAGTGTTACGTAAGAACTTGATGGTTGAGTGCATAGAAGGACACATGGGAATTCTATTCAAATATCTCGAATGTTGGCAAAATTTGATAAAGTATTTATTTGAACGAACCAAAACAGATTTCTGTTGCCTCAAAACGTTGGAATGTCACTTTGGCTCTCAACAATAGAGGTTGAAGTACAACAACTCACGCATAAAAACAATATGATTGAACATGTACTTAACCAATACCGAAATCTATTCAAATATCATACAAACTTGCTGGGTCATATTGGCGCCTGTGGGCAATATATAGAGGACTTTAAAATTTTGTATTAAACACACGACTTAGTAAATCACGACATCGCTAACCCTTTCAATTTTTAATCTTTCGTTAACTTCAATTCTGAGACTGTTCGTAAAAAATTACCGATTTCACCCATCATACTTCACAGAGAGTATCGGCTGAACGTAACGCAAATTTTAGGAGACCCACCCCTAAATTCATACCTACAAACAAACGAAACGAGCAAGATTGACCCAAAGCAAAAACGAAGGAATTCTCAGAGCGGTTGATATACTTTCATGTGGCCGCTCTTTCATCTATTATGCAATCATGGGAAAGCTTTCATTTAACGCAAATGCAAATAATTCTCCGCTTGCCTTAGGAAATCAACGAGCCCGAAATACACCCGTGCATGTCTCCAACCCGAGAAGTACGACGTCTCATATTTCATAATTTACCTTCAAAGTCGAAAAATCGTTGTAAAAGAAAAATCTATTTTATGTGAACAAGAAATAAACAAATCTTATCATATCGGGACAAATCTTTACGACTGACACAATAATTTTCTCAATTTGAATTGCAAATGCTGTAAACCACATGCAGGCGGTCTGCGCACATTCAAAGAAGTTTTCCAATGTTTTGACCTTCAAATTGAAGAATGGTTGCCAATAGATCTGTATGCTAAGACTTACACTAACTCAGAAAACAACAAGTGAAAAAGAAAAAGAAACCTTGCTTTCCCGCTAAATATCTCGTCATTTTCGGTCCTTCCTCTCGAGCTGGCACAGTAGTCATGAATATCGCCAACATCGAGGCGAAAAATCCCGCTAAGCAGCCGTAAAATATCAAGAAGAACACTGTGATCTTCGCTGAAATGAGGAAAATAAAGTAAGCGATGTCAGTTTACAGGTACACGGTACATTTCGTGGACTAAATCCATCGACAAGTTGCCTCACAGCTGGCATTCATCAATATACCGGTTCTGCTTCGATTAAACTCTCTGCTAGATTTAATCAACTTACCCCAGCTCTTGCCATTTCTGCCCATGACCTGCACTTCACCATTTTCACCATCTTTATTGTAAAGAAAGTGGCCAAAATCACGTGCAGTTTGTTGAAAACGTTCAATTCTTGTCTTTCCTTCTTGCCCTTGCTTAGCGTACGCCATCTTGCAAGCCTCACCACGCGAAACAGCGGCAACTACCACGTGATCTCTCTATTTGAGCGTCCAATTTATATTTGAGGGAGGGGAGGTTGGGGTTACTAGCTTAGTATCTGTACTTTGTACATGCAAGTTGTCATATTGTCCCTGCGTTTTGGGCCAATAATAATGGCCCTTTAGACAACTGTCCGCCGTATATTTAGTAACGAGCCAGTAATGCCGCCAAATCCATATGTTATACCCACGTGAATCTTGTTAATTTTCCTTAGATCAGCTCCAATTTGTAAGAGGCGGTCACGATTGACAAATTCCTAAAACTAGGCCCAGTGTGGAAATGCATTTTTTAACTCGTGTTTAGCGATTATCAGGAAAGTCGAAATGATATTGGTACATGTCAAATTTATAGTATCCTTTTATTGCAATAGTGAAGCCATTATTAGTATTTCTCACTATAAGTAGATTACAAGTGGCTTGTCGCCTCTGAAAAATGTTTTAGTGTACTTTGTCAGTGACGTGTAGTGTCCACGTGCACAGCAGAAAATATTGCTAATATTTTGAGCTAAGCCACGTCATTTACTGGTTGGGTTCTTTTCAAAGATTGTGAATATTGTTTCGTCCTTCCAGCAAGTAAGATTGTCCGCCATTAATACTTAAGAATTTCTTGCGATCAGGCCATACTCAGTGTTCTTTCTGCATTCCATGTTTTCTCATTCTTTCTCGGTATAACTTGTCATATGGTTATTGCCAATTTTTTACACGATGTACTTGAACAGGAAGACTTTACTATGAAAAGGGTAGATAGTATCCTGAGTTATAGCACATGATGATTCGATGCCAGATCACCTGATGCTTCTGTATCGACCGCTTGACTTTATGGTGCAGTATCACGCTGGTTTTATCGCGTCAATCTCGATCAGCCATTTCATTTAGAGCCACGAATGAATTTTCTCTCGGCAGTGCGTCACCTTGTGTCAGTCTAATTTTGTGACTAAATAAAATTCTGGGTAACTCTTTTCAAGTTCAGTTTTATTACGATCGGTTGATGCGCGAAATAGCTTACCCCTCACTTCAGTGAGGTGACTCTTCTCATGAGAAGATAAAGGCATCTTTACTTACTTGATCCCATAAATAACCACTACTGCGATATCAATAAAACTTTAATTGCGTCATGAATTATATGCTGTATTCTGTAAATGATATTGATAAAGCAAGAGCACTCATTTTCATTAACAGCACTGATGACATTTGTTCTTTCCAATTAATGTTCCCGTGAGTTACCAATATATATTTCTTATCATGAGTGAATTAAACTACAGTCCTTTAATTTTATTGTAATATATAGATTTAGGCAAGCCTGAAAGCGGAGCTCGCATTTTTTCCCCCGCACGTCTCTTCAACAAAACTAAAGCACCTACTATGGATAAAGTGCGTGGTAATATTAATGGATTTTCATTCGCAACTTCTCCGTGTCCGTGTAGAGGACTGATTATAAGATAGTGCCAGTGGTACAGTTGGCCGCGCATGCTAAAAGTAGCACCTTGTACGGTCGGTCGAACGGTCTTACGGTCGTACATCCAAATTTTTTTCGGCTTGATGAGTTACTACTATTTTGTATAATTATGGAGCTACGCGAGCTCCGCTATTAAATATAAGATAAACTGTATAAAAATATACAAATTATTAGATAGAATGAGTGAAGCATCTACTGATATGGACACGTCACATCGAAATTACAATTTTTGTGACTTTGAAAAGTCAATTTTGTTTGTAAGGAACTTTGGTATCTTGGCAGTTAATGAAATTATTTCACCAACTGACGTTTGTTAATTTTTCCTTTTGGTGATAGTGGGTTAGGGTGGAAAAGGAATACGAGATGAAACCGATAGCAGACCATAGGCTTGTTTCATAACTGAAGAGGCTTTCTTTAAGCTCTCTGTCGCAAATCGCAAACTAACTCAAGCTAACGTGTGAGTAGGATTTTTGTTCTCTGTTATGGAGTCCGCAAAGCTGATTACGCCAATATATTACGCAAAACAGTTTTAAAACTTAGCGACCATGGAGACACTCTTGGCGCTAAAAATTTAGATTCCAGGGTTTTATTTTCAGACCACAGGCAAACAAATGTTTCGCTAATTACTATATAATAACTTTTTTTTTTAATCTCAAGTCAATTTTTTTTATTTTAATATTATAATAACTTTTTCTATGATCTCGGTGGGAGTTCATTTACATGGGTATTAGTCACTGGTACAAAAGTCGCTTTCTCAATGGAATATCGCCGTAAAAGCGGCGCCATTCAATTCTCTCTATGTTCCTCCTTGAGCCACAAGGCTAATGTCCATCAAAGTCGCAATCCTTTGGCTAATCAATGCAAACAGAGCCATGGAATGAGAAGTTGTGGGGACTGGGCAAAACTTATTTCTTCCTGAGGTTAAAATGCAAGAGCAGCCTCTCTTTTTCTATTGCGTTTGTATTATCAGGTACTTTAGATTTTAAACAGACGATTTTTTTTTTCTTCCCTAGGAGTTATGACGTTGAGACTTCTGTTGCCGTTATACTTGTCCAGCGGAACGAGTGCAAACACTTGTCATGGGAACGAGGATAAGAAACTCTGCTTCCATTACCCTTGTCTAGCGGAGCATTCCTCAAAACCCTTTTTCCAAGTCCAGAACTGGAACCGATCTTCAGGCTTTCGTCAAGTTGGGAAACACTGAATGTATCTCACGAAAGCACAACACATAGCCTGTTCCGGGCGCTCAGGACAGCGCGGTAATAGCGGAGTGAAAAAGCTAGGGAGGCCAGGGTCGGGTTATTGAGCAACCCAACCCAAGCCTTTCTCATTTTTTCACTCCTTCCCTACTATCGCGTACAATATCACGCTTCGTTTTAACCAGCTGAACGCCTAAAACAGGCTACAAAACTCAAAGAAGTCGAAAGTAAAGTGTCTGAAGCAATCCAACAATAAATAAGCGAATTATGTATCATTAATTATTAGTGGAGGGCCTTCGTTGCAACCTTACATATACATGCCCTGTGGGGTGCTAGTGAGAGAACTAAATTAAAGTTAAGACAGAACGAGGTTGTTTTCTCTGTGGCCAGTGAAAAAAGGGTTAGGTGCGGGAGAAGAAGTTGGGAAATCGATTCAAGTGCAAACTACGATTGTTGGGATGTAAAAGATATCCTCTAACTTTGCAAAACCTCAATCATCTTCCTCTTTTAGGTCTGTCACGCACGCTACAAGTCCACCTTCAACTTTAGAACGTTCTTCACTACAACGTAAGACCTTGCACGATCTCGTGGTATTTAAAGATCTTCCGTCCAAAAAGTACTTTAATTTTGTTCTTTACAATATCATTTTGGTTTTATTTCAAATGAACTAACGTATTTTATGTGGCTTGTGAAGATTTAGGCCTCTCGAAATTGTGTGGAGGTGACGCGAGCCGACTTTTGAGATAGGAGAAAACGCAACTTGATCAAACTTCCGGTGACTTGTTCCCTCACGAACTTAATCTAACAGTATCTTATTATTGCTTTCGATCTAATTATGACGATCAATTAAAGTATGTACTCTCTGTTAGTCATTGTTATTGCAGATTACAATTAATTTCTGTCATTAATAAGCTATTTCTTTTAAAGAATTATGCAATCTTGATAAATATGAATTTTCTCGCCACCTTTGAGAGATCCCATTGTTAAGCGCGCGCTTATTGCAGCTGCTTTTCGACAAAAGCTGCGCGGAAAACCACGCTTTTAATTTATCGTTCATAGCGGTAGATTTGAGCATTTCAGCGCAGAATGTGCTTTATTAACTTGTTCGATATGAAGTCGATCTAGTCGAGAAATTCAGCAGTCTTAATCTGAATTTGTTGGTGGTTGATTAGATCTAGGAAGAAAAATATTGATGGTAAGTAATTTCATTTTGATGTTACTGCTACTATGTACTTCCAGTCAAAATTAACAAAGCATGTAAGTCATCCGCCTTTCTTTTGCACTCATAGCGAAATTAAGCCATTATTAAACGCTTTCATTCAAGATCATGACTAAGGTAGTCAATTCAGTTCCAGGCTAAGGTTTGTTCTCAAAAGTGACAAGTACTGAAAACTACAAGGCTTTCGAGATCAATACCGTTTACTCGGCGTCAAACTAACAAGTTCGTTTTGTAATTTATTATTTAAAAACAAAGCTTCAATTTCCTTCGGCTAATTTTCCGCAGTTAAATGTGCTCAATTGAATGTGCTAGTAAAACTCGTTACCTTTCTTGAAAATAATAGCATCTGCATCTCGAGGTGAAGTTGAATTTTGAAAATAAAAAACATATGTCCATTTGGATATCAAACTTCTTTTGTTACGCTATACTTTAACGGCTGTTTACAAGCTTTTTTAACGATCCTGTGAAAAGTTGATCGCAAAATGAAATTAGAAAAAATGGGTTGCAATTGTGCAAGTAAACGATCGAATACTAATTGCTCCTGAGTAATCAAAACACTGATCAACGCTGGCTTATTTGGGTCATCAATTACTGAGAAATTTTCCACTGTTATTACCAAATCTTACGATTCGCTCGCTTTGCTGTGAAAATTTCACAGAAATTCTCAAGAAATTTGCCCACAAAACCAACTTCATTTGAATAGCTCGATTTTCCGAAACTTACAGTGATATAGGGAAGTCATAATTTCGATTAAATCGTAAATAAGACTTATCACTATGGTGACGAGCTCCGAACAGTCGTTTTCAATATGTCGGACAATCCCGAAAATACAGATCCAAAAGCGCAGGAAAGAGAGGATGGCACAAAGTCCCGCACGTTAAAAGATGCGACACATAAACTTAAAGCAGAAGCTCTAAGACGTTATCAGCTTGGAGATGTAGAGTATGACAGCGAAGGCGCTAAAACTGATGGTGGGCGCCAAGGTTCGTCTTCTGATAAGAATGTTGGAGACACCGAAAAGGACGGTGAAAAAATTGATTCAGAAAACCCAGATTCTCCGAGCAAGGGAAAAGATGATGATTTGAATGGCGACAACGCCAACGACGAAGAAAGTCGAGAAGATGAAAGTTTTGGAGGGGATTCCTCGAAACCAAACGAAGGCAACGCTTTAGAGGATTCTGTTCATAGCAACAACATGAAATCTGATAAAGAAAACGTTCAGAGATCTGAAATATCCGAGAACGGAGGCGGTGAAACTAGTACTGATGTCAAAGATAAAGATATAAACAATGGAAATGATTCAGTTCGGGAGGGAGAAATAGCTAATGAAATCTCTAAACCTCAAAGTGAAGACACTTCGCGGGTTTCAAATTCTCAGGACAAACCAGTACATGTTCGTGGTTCGAGGCCTGGCTCGGCGAGTTCACGACCAGGCTCGGGCAAAGAAAGGCCAACATCAGAGTCTGAAGGGTTTAAGAAAGGGGAGGAAGGCTATCAGAAACCTAGCAGCAGACCTGGATCAAGAGATGGTAACAGGTCCAGACCAGGATCAGGTGCTGACAAGAGGGCCAAGGACGAAGAACAAAACCAACAGTTAGCCAGTGGTAGGGATGGGTCTGGTATTGGGAGAAGGTCTCGACCACAGTCAGGAGACAAAGGAGGAGTTGCAGGCCAGGGAAGTGGTGATGTCACCCAAGATGGGTCTACCGTAGAAAGTCCTGGGGATGCTATTACTCAGAAAGATGGGGCTCTTATTAGTGATGAAATTGTTCAAACTGCAGATGGTCTTTCTCAATCCAAAACAAATGGGGGTGAAATAAAAGAAGGTGGTATGGCAGCCAGAGATGATGCTTCCCTGGTAAAAATTAATGAAGGTGTATCTCAAACAGAAGGCAAGGATTTGACTGAACAGGGGCAAGGTCACCATAGTGATAAATCAGTCTCAGAAAATGTAACAGCTGATAACAACACAGAAACAGTAAGTGAAGAAAACAGCTCTAAATCAAAGCAGACAGGTGATCATGACAAAATAAGTGATGATGTGTCACCACCCACAAGCGAGGAAGCAAAATCTAAAGATGTTGGTGAGGATTCTAAACAAAATCATGACTCTCTTTCTAACAATAAACAGGATCCTGCAGTGGCAGAAGGAAATAAAGAAGAAAATGAAGGGGAAAATTCTAAAGAAAGCAAAGGGGATAAGAAGAAAGCAGAAAGTTCTGATGGGGGAGGACAAGTTAATGCTGAGTCAGATGGAAAGGAAGATTCATCAGGAGCCATGCAAACTGATGATAGTTCAAAGGACAGCAAGGAGCTAATTGTCAGAACTGACAAAGGTGAATTATCAACAGAACCTGGTGAAGGTAAGAAAGAACAGGAAGATGATGCAGGAAAATCAGAATTGGAAGAAGGAGAAAGCAGAAAAGCAATTAAAAGAGCTGATCAGGAAGGTGGAGATGAAGGTCACACAGGGGAATCTTCAGATGCAAAAGTTAAAGAGGAGGGTAAAGAAGGTGATACAACTACTGGAGAAGCTGATGAAATGAAAAAGGATGAGAGTGACAAAAAGAAGAAGAAGAAAAAAGCAAAGAAAGAAGGAGAGGAAAAGCAGGAGAGTTTGGAAGAAGATGGCGAAGAGAAAGGAGACGGAACTGGAAAAGGAGATGGAGAGGCACAACCTGGTGAACCAAAACAGACTGTACCAGGTAAATTATGAAAATAAGCTACAATTTATAGCAAGTCAGTGAAATAGAGAACCCAAAATTTCACAAGTGTTGAGTTAGTAATTCAATTTTGAATTAAATTGGTCCATTTACACTTTACAGTAGTATCTGGTACAAGCATCTCTACTTGAAAAATAAATTTGCCAACCAGTAGTTTCTGAGTTTTACGCCCACTTGTGTGACTCCTTACATACAAAAGTTTTTTTGTATGTTGTAAAATGCTACGTTACTTTATGCTTTCAATTTTAATTTTTTCTCTAAATTCTATTATGATTCCTGTTCTTTCTTATGACTTATACATCCAGGCCCATTTGTTTGAAGGCTGATTAGCACTAACCCAGGGTTAAATTTTAATCCTGGTCTCTTTGTTTCTGTATTCAAGAGCCTTTTATTAGATAGGTTACTCTTTTATCTATGGAGCATCCAGTCATCAAATTGTAGTTAAAAGAATGCCTCTGAATTTTCTTTTAGAGCTTTCAGATCTGAAATCAAATTCCATACTAACCTTAGGTTATCTTAACTCATCTTTGAGCAACCTCACCCTGGTGTTTCATCAGAGTAAAGTTGTGATGTGAAGTCTTAAATGATTTCACAGTACTAATGTGTAACTCTGTTGAAATGTAGGAGATACAGAAGAAGAGGCTGAAAGAATTCTACCAGATGACTTCTATTATGATTTTGATGAATTAGTCTCAAAGGCATTTTCAACAGAGGGAATCCCATCAGCATTGTTATCATTTTAGTATCCTTTTGGTTAGATGTGAATGTAATACTTTCATTTGGTGATTAAAGTCTGCAATTAAAAGTTCTATAGCTTAGCATTTCATTTGAAATCAAATTGTCCTGAAGCTATAAAACTCAAAGTAATTACATGTAGCACTTTGCACACAACATACCTTTCTGTTGTCAAATGCAAATTTGTACTCTCAGTTTTAAGATGCTTTTTCTTTAGAATGTTTTGAATTTCAGTAACTGGTTACAGTGAAATTATAGTTTCATGTACATGGTTGACCCTGTGTTAAATGGAACATGGAGGGTGACTACTTAATACAGGTTGACCAGCAAATGACTTGTGCAATATTTGTGCATAATGTTTCACATCCCAGAGAAGAAAGATAACATGCAATGTGTTGAGGACATTTGAATCAAAAGAGCCAACAGTGATCTCAGGAGATAAAAAGGGAATTAATGAACTTGAGATATTATTTTAAGTTAACTGTTTCAATTGAGTGCTTCCACTTGAAGTGATGGCTTAATACAGGTGGAAGACAACATAAACAGGGGGTTGAAACTCAGTCAAAGGTAACCACAACCACTCAATAGAGATGAATGCTTAATGAAGGTGACTGCTTATTAGAGGTGAAAATTACAGTAATTTAGGAGAACAAATTTGTGACTTTGACAATCAACTGCTTAATAGAAGGTGACTGCTTAATATGATGCACTTAATCCAGGTTCTACTGCAGTAGGATACATTTGTTTACATCCTTAACTCTCCTGTCTCTTCACAAGCCATTCATTTGGGTTTGAATGTACCAAGAGATCAAACCTCCATGTCCTGGATGAAAATTGTGTTTTGTTCTCTGCTGGAAACTCGGTAGAGATTCTCAATCTAAAGACACAGGAGCAGACTCACATTAGAACATCGGGAGGAGGTGGAATTGGGGCTGTTGCAGTAAGTTTTTATCTTCAATTTTTTTTAAACCACACTGGATGTTTGAGTGAAGTGATTGTTATAGACACATTTTGTAACTTCTAATATGATTATAGTGTTTCATTACCATCATCTATTTCCCATTTCTATCATCTGTTTTAGTTGATTTATGCTTTGAAGCTGGAATAACTTTATTGTAAATTCATGAAATTTATGTTTGTCAAAGTACTATACTTAAAGTTTGTGGTAAAAAATTAATGATAATTTCAAGATTACAAGTCACATCTAAACATGGATTTATAAGATTTATTTCAGTCTCTATCTTAAAATCAGTTTAGGAATTATTCTCACACAGTGATAAGTTTGTTTCATGGTAACAGACACAGACAAGTTACACTAAGTCTTTAAGTTATTAGATTTAAATAACATATGCAACACTATTCTCTATCTGCAAAATAGCATTGTAGCTAATTATAATCAAGTCAGACACTGAAAAGCTGAAGTAGAAAACCCAATAAAGAAACTAAAAGTTTTCCAGGAAGAGCTGAGAAAAATCCCAGGGCCCAGTTGTATAAAGGGTAGATAACGCTATCCAATGGATAAATCGCTATCCACCAGATAGAGATTTATCCAGTGGATAGAGTTATCTGACCTTCCAATAACCTGAGCCAGATGTGTTTGAATAATTTTGATAAACTATTTTGATCATTCAATGTTTACAAGTGATACGTTTTGCTATGTGGAAGTAACATATACTTTTTGACTGGCAGGTCCATCCCAGCAGAAAATATTTTGCAGTAGCAGAAAAAGGAGTGAAGCCTAACATCAATATCTTTGAGTATCCTTCTCTGAAGCTCCACCGAATCCTTCGTGATGGGACTGAAGAAGCTTATGCCCACTTGGACTTCTCTCCTAAAGGAGACAAACTTGCTTCTGTTGGCAGTGCACCAGACTATATGTTGACTGTATGGGACTGGAGAAATGAACAGGTTATTCTTAGATCCAAGGCTTTCTCACAGGATATTTACAAAGTAGCATTTTCACCTGAAGACGAGGGACACTTGTGTACTAGTGGCTCAGGACATATTAGGTGTGTAAATTTATCCTTTTTATTGAACAGTATGGAGTGGATTTTGGTCTGATTTCAAAGCCTATGTTCCATTTGAAATCATAAGTATGATTATAGACTAAAATTGAACTCAGTAACAGCTTTAACAGACTGTTTTTGAATCCTTATTGCATGTGCATCATAATCTTTGAAACTGAACATCAAAACTTTGTACTTCTGCAGATTTTGGACCATGGCAAGCACATTCACTGGACTGAAGCTACAGGGACAAATTGGAAAGTTTGGTGCCAAAGAAATCTCTGATATAGAAGGTCAGTGGAAGTATATAGTTAAACTTGAACTTCATGTAAGGCGGTTTTCAACTGTGTGTCAAAAAACCAAGAGAGGAAGTTTCATAAGTGTGGAACAGAGAAAAACTCTGAGTTCCTCTCAAGGAAATTCAACTTAGATCTTGAATTTCATATTCTGTAGTCTGACAATTCTCTGATCACTGAGTTTCAGAGAACTTGATGGCAATTTAGTTCATAATTATTGCTTTCATTAGCTTATGTTGCACACTAACTACCTAATTTTCTTAAAAACAGGTTTTGTTGAGCTTCCTGACGGTAAAGTACTTTCTGGATCAGAATGGGGCAACATGCTACTCTGGGATGGTGGTCTAATTAAAGTGGAAATTTCCAAGAAAGGCAGGAAACCTTGTCATGTTGGTATGATTGAACAGTTCTTTATGGATGAAGGTGAACTCATGACCATCGGTGCTGATGGTTTTGTAAAGGTCTGGGATTTTGAGAGCATTGACAATGCTGACACCACAGAGGAGGGGCAGCTGTTTGAAATGGACCCAATGTATGAGCTGAAGGTAGGGGTAAAAATTTGGCTGCAAGAACATGTTACAGTAACAATTTTTTTTTTCAGTCCTTACTGTATTTTCCACCACTCATGCTAAGTAGTGTTCATTACAGCGAAGATAACTTTCCTATTAATTTCTTAAAACTTTAGTTCACGTATATGGTTTTCATATATTCACAGTCATTGATTCATCAATTCATGGGTTTAATTGAAACCAATATAATGACCAGCCCCCAGATGGCTTGTTTAAGCTCAGTTGGTAGAGTGCTGCACCGGTAGGCCTGAACCTTTTTTTCAGGCCTTAGTTTCACTATTGCTTTTTATAAGTAGTGTTCGTTACTGCAAAGATTGCTTTGCAGTTCACACATACCATTTTCATAATATTCACAGTCGTCAATGTTACAGTTACTGCATAAAAATAAAATTGTCAGATACCTCTGACAATGGCATTTTGTCCAAGCTAAGAGACCCATCAGATACCTTTCAGAATTTTAAATCAAACTCAGTGAGCAAATTGTGCTCTTCATCCCATGTGCAAATTGAAGATGTTAGCAATCAGGCCTTGTATCTCCTCTAAAAAAAACTTTATAACAAAATACATGTTCATGTAAGTCACTACTGGTAAGCCTCTAAGGGTAGCCTGTATCAGTGACACACTGTGTGTCTAGTTTGTTTTGGTGTAAATGTCATGAACTGAGTGCATATTTAGTAAGTTATACATGTATAGCCATGATGGTAAGAGAAGATGAACTAATTGGGTTTTCTATTTAAGTTACCTGTTTCCTGTGTCAGAATTGGTTCAGTTTGTGCCATCACTGGGAGTGTTGTGCAAGCCAGGAAATGTTATTGAACAAACACTGTTATTTATTATGATGCGGACAATTTATTCCAACAGGTTGGCACTGATGTCAAACTCATGTCAATGGTCAAAGCTGTGAATACTGAAGCACCAATCTGGTATGCTCAGGTAAGTGTCAGCTAACATCATGAGAGTATTTTCCCCAGTCAGTGAGACACTGACTGTGATTGGGTTGGACATGCATTTGAGCTACAGTAGAAATGCTCAAGATTAGTGATTTTTTAAAACACTTCAATTCCTTTTCTGAAATCTCAAATTACTGAGGCTTTATTGTTTGAGATTTGAAATATAGATACTGGTAGTTTAAATCTTTGCTCAGATTAAAAGGCAGGTGTAAGCTTGTTGTTAATTGAGTAAGATATGATGTGTACATGTCTGATATGCTAGCCTACATCAGTCACAAGCTAAAGCTTTTAATTTTTTATCCACCTTTTCTTTGTGTCCATTGGAAAACATCTTAACCTAACCTTGAAATTTTTTTCAAATCTTTGATATTTTTCAGGATGCCACAGGTGGTATATGGAAACTTGATCTGTCATTTACTCACACTGTAAGTATTACAAAGTGTTTGTTAAAGTACAGTAAAAGTAAAGTTGTAAACCTTTATTTATTTTAAAGCAGGGTAAATCCTTCAGTCATATGACATAACTATTATCAAGGGATGCCCTGCTTATATCAAATCTTACCATAATACAAACTATATTCATAAACTATTAACAAAAACAAATATGTTATGAAATGCATACATCTATGTGTACATAAAAGTTACAAAATAACGATCAAAAATTATAAAGCCATGATAATAAAACAAATGTTTTGCTGACCTGTGCAGACAGAAAAAAAAAACACTTGATTTTTCTGTCAGATTTGTATTTAACCCTATAACTAGCAGAAGTGATTATCATGCAACTTCTCCCTTTGTTATCCATATATTATCCAGCAAACAGGTAGTGAGAATACTCAAACTCATCAAACAAAAATTCTCACAACAAACTTACAAGGAAATGTGTATTAGCTAGAGGGGAGAATTGACACTCAGATCTTGGGAGTTAAAGGATTAACTGAACAATTTTTTTTTACAGAGCCATGCACCAGAGAGGATGTACTATTACCATGCAGGACCAATCACTGGCCTTGAAACTTCTCCTGTTGCTCATTTTGTGGCTACAATTGGAGTGGATCGTGAGTAACTTTTTTCCTTTCCTTTTCTTTCTGGAGATGGGGCAGGTAGTGTTCTCCTTTATTGGGATTTGTATATAACAGGTTAAAGAAATGTTCAAAAATTAATTGGTAGAGCAATCCTTTTAACTGTTGAATTTTAAAAAAAATCTCAAGAAAATTTAGGGCATATTTATAGGTACTATTGGCAGTAAATTTAACTGGTTTTTGTCTGATAAGGAGAAGACCTAGGCAAAGGGATTTGTAGAGTTGCTAATGTTTCATAAACTTTTGACTTATCACTACGTTTGATTCCGTTTTACAGATACTGTGCGAGTTTATGACTACCTCTCCAAGGCACCAATGTGCCAGACTAAATACAATTCAGGAGGTTCCAGTCTTTTGTGGGTTCCTAAAGTGGTGAGTTTAACCATGGTGCTATTAGTGTTTGCCTACAACAAAACCTTGACTCAGGGTCACTTGCCTGTAAAAGAAAAATTGAGTTCAGTTGACTTTGTCTGGTTTTGGAAACACAATGTTATAAATATTGTGGGATCACAAGTGGGACATCTGAACCAAATCAATTTACCTGACCAGCGAATGAAGGGGTAAGTTTCTAAAGAAACTGTGGTGCTGCGTCGGAGGGAGAGTATAATAGGGTAATTTAGTATTATCAACTGAGTTGATAACGTAAATTGGCCACCGTAAAGTTTTAAAGCTGACGTTTCTAGCGTTAGCCCTTCGTCAGAGCGATCTAAATTATAATTACCCAATTTACCTGACTGTTTGTTAAGGTTGTTGAATGTGTCAAAAACGAACAGCGTAAACCTTTTTGCCTTTTAAAATTCGTTTAGGTTGATACCAAAGGTACCAAACTACTTGCTGGTTTTGCGGATGGCGTGGTTCGGTTGTTAGCACTGAATAAGGTGGATCCTTCCCAACTGAGAACTAAAAAGTCCAAGCAGAAATATGAGCTCAATTTGGAGCAAGTTTTTAAACCACACACCAAGGCAGTCACTGTATTAACTATCGATGAGCAAGGAGAAATTCTGGCCACTGGGGTAAGTTTCTAATGACCATTTAAGATAATGGGAGTTGACGTGCCAATCAGAACCAAGGGTGGAGTCAGATTCCATAAGCAGACCCTTAAGATAAATAATATGTTGATAATGGAGTTAAGGGTTTAAAATATCAACTAGCGTATGGTAGGTAAATCAGGTGGTTGCTCACAGAGTGCAACTAAGAAGTTGAACTCGGGGAAACCATGAATACATTCGGTGAGAGAAAAGGAGGAAGGACACCCTAGACCACTTAGCTATTCTGCTTCCAAGTAAGAACATAATTTAAATGGTGTTTCTTAAGACATCCTGTTAAAATGTATTTTTCATTGTGACGTTGCAGAGTGACGACTGCACAGTTTTCTTCTTCACTGTTGCTGAAACTTACAAACCGATAGGATTCATTGAGACTGCTTCTCCAGTTGTGTCTATGGAATGGTCAAACGAACCTAAGGTAATTGGAGATATTGAGCGCTTTTCAATTGAGTGTCGTAACAGCCAATCAGAAGAAAGAAAAATACCTCTAAGAGCCAATGAGAAGTCAAAGTAAAACCGACCAAAAATGACTTAAGCGCGGGAAAACGCGGGCGACCAAGTCGTTATTGGTTTTTAGCTTTGCATTTGATTGGTTGAAAGTTTGGCTTGAGTTTTCTGGACCAATCACAGAGCGAGGTAAAGCAAAAACAAGGCAAACCTGGATTATTTTCGACACTCAATTAAAATTGCAGTAATTGTCTTCTTTATTATTTCTATTTCTATCACTATCAAGCAATTCTCATTCCACAAGTAGCTGTATTATCAGGGTAAAGGATTTTGCTGAGAATTATAGTATTTGAGCAGGGTTATTTTAGGGTGGTAAATCATAATGTCCATGAATGATAGTTTGCTTTTTGTGATGAAAGAAGTGCTCTCCACAGTAAGTCGCTTGAGCTGTTTGCTGCCTTTGGAATCTCTATAAAATAGAAAAAAGAAACGTTAGTGTAATTTTGCCCTTTCGAAAACCGCCGTTGAATGTTTTTCTCTCCATTCACGTTAAATTGGGTCATGAAATGAGCATATTAGATTTTGTTACTCCACAGTACTTATCGTTCATAATCGAGATTCATCTTGTCTCCAGGCTCCAAAGAGCGTACTCATCAGCTGTAAGGATGGTACAGTTCTTCACGTCGAGGCTCCTGATCCTGGCAAATATGACACGAGTAAGACGTTCCACCTCCCCCTGACTAATCTGAAGACCAAGGAATACCACTTCAAGAGTGTCAAGGATAAACTCAGGGTGGGTATCTGAGGGGTTTTTTTGCCTTTGGTGTTTTTTATTTCAGAGGTGAAAATAATCTGGGGTTTCATTAGTTTTGCTTTACTTCACGATGTGATTGGTTTAGAAAGACCCGCGCCATCCTCTCAACTAAACAGAGGCTTTTGAACTTGCACTTTCTCGTGCTTGAGGTCACTTACTTTCCCCACCTACTCCACCCCTTCCACTTGTGTTTTCCCCGTTTTCATCAATTTGCTTTTTTTTTCCCCGAGTCGTCATTGGCGTCACATGATAATTTCCTTCACTCTGATCGACTGTTCTCATTACAGTGGCTGTGGTTTTTACGGCAGTCGATCGGAAAGCGCTTGTGCGGCTGAAAGTGCATGTTTATGTTTGGTCAGTAATGGGGATGTTTCACGTTTTTACAGAAAGCTGAAGAAGAAGCGCAAAAGGCGAAAGAGGAAGAAGAGAATAGGAAAAAGAAAGAAGCAGAACGAGCGCGGCGGCGTGCACGAGGATTGGAAGAGGAAGAAGAACAGGAAGAAGAAAAAAAAGAAGACGAACAAGACGGAGAAGAACAGAAGGAAGAAGAGGAGAACGAAGAGGAGCAACGCAAAGAACCAGGAGAAATTATTAAAGGATTTTACCACGGCAAAACGGAGAAATTCTGGATTTCAATGGTAAGTTAATCTGTGTCAGTCCCTAAAATTGCACTTCATTACATCTATTTTGAAATCGCAAAAATATAGTCGTAATCTAGTTTGTAATCTATATTTTGTGATTCAAATGTAGATGTCATCTTGATTTCAGGGCGGTTGGGATGCAGGGTATATGTACCAGTGTGAATTTGATGATGGTAAAAAACCGCCTCCTGCAGAAGGGCAGGAGGACACCCGAGATGAACCCGTGAAATCCATACCCGTGGACAACAGCAATGATACACCCATTAGATCTGTGTGGTTCAGGTATGACGGAGATTATGACATTTAGGTTTTCCCTTCTCCATGTCAATGCATAGAAGTGCAAAGTTGTGAAGACTTTCGTTAGAGGGCTTCATTAAGACAGTTTCCTCACTCATTCCAAGGATAAAAATTGTCTTTAGTTTCGTGAGTAAAATCCTCTTGTCACCCCACTGGTGTGTTTCGGATCTCAGCACTTGAATCTGAAATCTGAAATAGACACTTGAATCTGAAGTTTTTGCTATCTCAAACTTGTTGCTCCGTAGAGTTGTTGCTTTGAGTAAAAGAGTACTCGAAGTCTCCATCTCCAGCCAATTTTATTTTAATTCAGGCTAGGAGTCGACCCCGAAGTTTTTGATCCAGAGTCCAATGGGCCGATCCTCAGTACACCGCTTCTCTCTGCGTCGATGTTTTCAAATACATGTACTGAGATTTTTTCTCTTTCGTTTTTCAGTCACTCAGGTAAATTCCTCCTTTTTGGCATGGACGATGGAGTTCTTCGTATTCATCCTCTAGACGGATCGAACGACTTTGAAAACTTCAGCAATTTTTGGGCGCTTAATGTGCACGACAACCATCATGGAGGAATCCGACACATAAAGACCAGCTTTGATGACAAATATGTCTTCACTGCTGGAATGGATGGTAACTTCTTTGTGTTTCGCTTCATGGATAAAGCTGTGAAAGGCCTGAAAGTGTCTCATAAGGTGTCCATACCCTCGGCAAAGGTGAGATAAGCAGAGGGAAATAAGTAATGCTCCATTCACGCTATGCATTTAAATTGTTCTCTTCATAGAAGTTGCTTAATATGATGTTTGTCGACTTCAAATCTAGCACAATGAAAATTCAAGATGATGATTACTTGAACCCTATGTAAAATTCACCTTTGCACTTTTCAGTTGCTAATTGTCATCCTGTACAAGCAAAACCCTGGTCTTACTAAATATATTTTGCTTGTATGAATGGGGCATAAGGCCAGTATAGAACAATGTTTGGTCTGTTGTCAAGAATAATTCGGGTAACTACAGTTTTAGCTGCACAGCACTTCCGTGATTGGTCCAGAAATCATACGCCTGGCTCTCAACCAATCACATGGTCACTCCCATTTTCGGCGAAAAGAAACGAAATGAAAACTTTTTTCGTGTGAGGCAATGTAGAGGTTTCGTTAAATAACCTCGGCAAATCCTTTCCTCGCTTGTTTGTATTATCTTGTAATAAAATAAAGGCGTAATCAAACAGACAGAGGAGAAGAAGGTACAGAGGATGGTCAACCCCATTCTAATGTCTGGCTATCATATCCTGATTATTTTAGAAGCTGATTGGAGAAGAAGGTGAAGAGATAGTGAAGAAGATCGACGATATTGATGACCCAAACCATTACAGTATTGAACTCGAGAAGCAGAAGGCGGAACATGACAGATTGGTTAAATTGGCCGAGGAGAAAAAGCAGGTATTTACAGGCGCAGCGCATGTAAACCCATTCAAAAGGTAAACTGCGTAGCAACCGCATGAGAAAAGAGAGCTAAGTTTCTGGGAGCTCGTGCAAGAGGAAAAACGCGTCGGTGAAAGAGGAGAACTCTCTCCGACCCTTGTATGTGCCTCAAGTTTTACCACTTGACTTCGGAATCAGCCACGTGTGCAAAGTGAAAAAATCCCTGGGATCGCAATTATGTTTCGTAGCTATACTTTGTTTTCCTTCTTTTTCCAGAACATCCGTCGAAAGATTGGAAATTTAAGAAGAGCCTTTAAGGAGTTAATGACGAGAAATCAGAAACTTCCTCCACATGTGCAGATTACAACCGATGTAAGTTTTTTTTCCATTTTTGTGTTGACCGAAATATCATCAACCGCTGTAAAGTAAACTGTAAAGTCTTCCAATCCTGCTTGCATGAGGTTTGTGGTAAGGAGTCAAGTCCACAATGTTTTTTTTTTAAGCTGTTATCTGAGGGACTCCGTGCTTTTGTTACTTTCAGGAATTCGAAATTGATCCCGATCTCGTCACGGAACAGAAAGCTGAGGTGGATAACAAAGTGAGTATACATTAAGTAGTCTATTTGTAGCCTAACTGTTCAAGACGCTCAAATCGTTAGGACAAGCGAGAAGGCGTTGTGCGCAAAAGGAAAAAATTGTTGGACTTTCCCGCTCGCTTAACTTTTCCCTTGCCTACACTTACTGTGAACGTGACGCAAGCTAATCCAGGTGCTCTTGCTGAGTAAATGCATCAGACGAACCTGTTTTTGTTTCTGTTTTTGATTTTGGCCTTTAGATTGAACTTGTTCGTAAAGAGATGGCTTGGGAAGCAGAAAAGAAGTCTATTGGATTGAAAAAACTACAAAAAAGGTGAGAAAAGCTTTCACATTTTGCTGTCATGTGTTCCTCCACTGAGTTACAGAATTAGGTTTTAAACTCGGGTATGGCATCTCTTTGTAATTTTATTTGTCTCTATTTTCGTGTCGTGACGACTTTTTGATGCTGTTGATTGAAATAAGATATTAAACAATGCTTGTTTTTTTCCCTTGCAGATTTAAGGACGAGGTTGAATGTGATCGGATCGTACTCCGCGCGTTCCTTACTCCTCATCTTGTGACAGCCTTCAGAGCAGCTAAACCAGACTACCTTCACCAGCTGCTACAAGAGGCCGGAGGGACCAGGGGTGGGGAGGGAACTGACGGGGGAGTGTCAGGGAGAAAGAGCTTCTCAAGTGCAGCGCAGAAAGCAGCTCAGGTGAGGGATTATCATCGATACTTAATTTATGAGCATGCTCAATCGAGACTTTTTGAAAGAAAACTGGGAATGAGCTGAGTGGCGTGTGAAAGCAAATCACGAGTTATATAGCAACAGCCAATCAGGAAAAGGAAAAATCGCAAGGAGCCAATAAGAACTCAAAGTAAAAGCGGGAAAAATGAGGTGATCACGTTGTGATTGAAACAACATACCAAGGTATCCCTGATACCCTTACTTTTCTTCCTCTCCCCGACAACATTGCACAATGCTCCCAGTGAGTTTATGACATTGAATGAGGCGGGAGGGGAGGGTATCGTGGCAAATTGTCCTCCAGTTTTAATTTTATTGCCAGATACTTCCTCCAAAGTGGTAACGTGAATGTTAGGCGTCCACTATATTTGTCTTTGATTTAAAATCCCTTCTGTATACTTGCAATACTTGATGTTGTAATATGGAATAGTTTTATGATCGGAAAATCATTTTATGCAGATGAAGAGACGTAGCACACAAGATAAGATAACAGCAAACCAACAACAACAACAACAGCAACAAGCTCCAGTGTCACAAGGCCAGCTGGGAAGCAAAGTCGCTAATGCGCTAGCTAAAGCAGAAGCTCGCAGGCAAAAGAGACTTGCCAGACAAGCCGAGGTACTGAGAACTATTTGCTGTCCGTTTGTAAAGCTCCAAAGAGAGCCAGTGATAGGGCCAAAACTGAGGATTGCAGGATTCGTTCCCTGCTCTCTTAGGAAAAGAAAACAAAAAATACATTTATTAGATCATTATGTTGCGAAGAGTTCAACTAAAGCAGGTTGCAAGATACTTTGGTTTTATTAACTGAGTTGATAATGTAAATTGGCCACTGTAAAGAGTTTCTAAGTCGCCGTTTCGAGCGCTAGCCTTTGGTTAGAGCGTTTCGCTCTCCAAATCATCTGTTTACACTCCCCCACCGACGCAGCACAACAGTCTCTGAAGAAAAAACCCCCGTTATTCATTTATTCAAGCTCGGGAAAACTCATAAAGGACGAGAGCTAGCCTACTAGCTCACTAGGTTTCTCATAGTTACTGAAATAAATTTTAGGATGTATTGCATGTGAAAGCTCTGCAGTTAATTCTTTTTGCAGTCATTCCTAGATTTCTTCAACAGTCATACTTTGATTTGTCTCTTAGTGGGACGAGTTGTATCGTAGCAAGCCTGACGAAGGTTATGAAGATCCCAAAGATCTGGCTGCCATTAAAGAAGCGCGAGAAAACATGGGCGATTATAAGCTGAAGACTGCTAAAGATTATGTGGTGCCCGAAAGTCAAAGGGTGAATGCGGAAAAGAAGAGGATTCAACTCCTGAACCTTCTTGACCAGGTAAGTTTTACCAATTACATTTTTGCGTTGTGCTTTTTTTGAAAGTAAATTTCATCGAGTTTGAAAGGAATGTAAGTTGAAATGTTCGGAGAAGCGAACGGGTTTTGATGTTGTTTTTCGTTTTTGTTTTTCAGATTCATCATTATAAGTTTGAATTCAACCATTCATTCTTAGCTCTCCGAGATAAGAAAATCAAGATAATCAAAGAGGTAATTCAAGATTGGTAACCTACTTCCTTTGCAGTGAAGTCTGTCTACAAGAATTGTGTCCTTTTGTTTATACTTGCACTTTCATTTTGTAGTTGAAGGAAGTGGTCGCACAACTTGAGGAAGTACAGCGCAAGATCGACCCGTATTCCCGACGGACCATCCCGAAAATACCCGAAATGATGCCCGATGAATGTCCCGAAAAGTAAGTTTTGTTAGAGAGTCAGTTTATGGTGGAAAACGTCAATCAAAATCAGGAAACCAATCAGAACTGGATTTGACAAGTTCAGGACAAAAAAGTTTTTTCTGTTATCTGAAGATTTTTTCAGATCGATCAAGTATTGGAAGCTTTCTGTCTCTTTTCACCTTAGTAAAGAAAAACGAAAACTTTTCTGCGCCTCATTCGCCGGAAGAAATTTGTGTTTGCTCATAGGATTGAGCCGCAATTCTGACACACTCTTCACAATAAAATAGTATTTGGTGGTAATCAAATATTTCTGGACAAGCAGTGCGTTTCAGTGAAAGCAGCTTCCGTTTATTAAAGAGAACTGCGGTCATTTATAAATTTCTTACAGTTTAACTTGTGGACGTTGTAAACAGTGTTAGGTATCTTTTTCACGCATGGTCGGTTCTGGACAGTGCTTTTCATGTCGGCCCCAATCTTTCTGTTGGCAAATTTCATCGCAGTACAAATTCACACGACAACCACTGCACATCAACAAGGAAGCACTCACTTTTCCACAACTTGCGCACTTCGGTATTTCTCTCTCTCGTTCAGCTCTAGCAGCCTTCGGTTTTGAATCTTCTCTTGCGCGTTTTTTCCTCTTTTTTATCGCTGTGAACTGATGAATTGTTTTCTGCCGTGTTTCATCTTTCACCTTCGCCATCTCCTCCTTGTGGGTGCGTTCCATGTCATCAAGAGCTTTTTGTAACTCTTTGTTCTTGTCATTTATCAAGGCTTGAATGGATTTCTTTGCGGTGCTGTGCACTTTCTCAACAGCTAGTTGACTTGCTTCTCTTTCCCTGTCGATCATCCTCCGGAGAAGTTCTTTTTTCTTTTCAACTTGAACTTTCTCCTCATTGATTTTCGCGGCCGCCACCACGGCAGCCGTTTGTAGCACGCTCTGTCTGTAATCATCGATTAAGTTTTCTGTACTTCTCTGACAAGAGTCCATGGCATCTTGCAGTTCTTTAATCCTGTCTAGTAGGTTTCTAGACATTTTTCTCAACTGAAAAGCGTGTTAGTGGAACGGAATCTGAGACAATAAGTTTATCTTCACCTTCCACACTGAACAGGGTTTTAGCGCGGTGATTGTTATTTTTGGTTGCCATGGATTTCCTTTTAAACATTGTTGACGTGTTTACGTGTACTTGCGCGCGCGAACGTGAGATTTGCAAATGGGTTAATGGAGACGTTAGTTAATTAATGCTTCAAAAGAGTTGATTAAAACTTGTTTTCTCGATGCCCTCCAAAGTGATAATAGTAGCAATAAAGTTAATGTTCTTGGGAATAAATAAGTTGTGACCCATATCAGAGTTATTTTGATGGGCCCAAACATTTATGTATGCCCGCGATTATGAACCAAATTGTCTTCATTTAGATTGTGTTACAATAGTTTCTCTGTTCATGGGTGAGTTCTTAATAGAAAACTGGCATAAGGTGGATTATTGATTTTATTTCTGCTTCGTTTGTAGGCGCCTTGAATACACACGTGAGCAGTTACTTGAATTCAAGAAACAAATGGTCGAAAAGGTTCATCAGGGAGAGCAGGGAGGGGGATTTGGAGGTTTTGGTGGATTTGGTGGCGGGGGAACTGAGGTGAGCAGACGTTTGTTTTCAACGGGGAACTCATAGACTGCGTTTTTGCTAACTTGCTGAAAGATTTCACGACTGGCCTTAGCTACACAGGGGTTTATCATTGTGCGGAACTAACTCATGGACCTCTTTATTCTTGTTTCTCTGTGAACGGACATTATATTTTCTCTACATCAATGTTTTCCACTTGTCCTTTCAGACCTCAAAATTGGCTCCAACAAGCAAGCCAGGGACACAGCAAAGGGACCGCTCTACCTCTTCTGTCTCTGTACATTCCCTTGGAAGGCCCAAGTCTAGTTTGAGTACTTTGACGGACAAAGAAACCCCCGAGCCCGCGTTAGAGGACATCAGCGAGGACCCGTCCGTGCTGGAGCAGGAGATGCAATATGAGGAGCAAATCAGGTTGGACAAGTATTCTTTCAACAATTTTTTTGTTCGGAGGGGAAAGGGGGCGGGGGGCGTATTTGAGTGAAGACCTAATTCATTCGTCAACAAAAGGAACAGGAAAATGTCTTACTAAGCAAGTGAAAATGGCACACTATTAAAACGTGCGCCAAAATGAAATTAGGTAAGGAACGCAAGAAAACGGGCAACCGGCGGCAAGCACGGGAAACTGGTCAATCAAAGGCAAGCGCGGGAATGGTCCAGCTAGTCCCACGCGAGGGAAAATATGTCAACACTGGCTAACCGGGGAATTTTAAAATTGAAAGTATTGTGCTTTTTTTTCGGTTTTGTCGCATGCAAGGTATTGTGACTTCAAGGTTCACTGTGTCCTAACAACTCTAAACCTTAACCCTAATCCCTGAATCTTCCACAATGTTTTTAAAAAAATGATATTAAACATCCTGTTCTGCAATCCAGGTTACAATACGAACAAGATATATTGATCGACAAGATCACCAGCACACTGGAGAAATTTGATGCCGATCTGCGATACCTAAGACACGATAAAATGCATCTAGAAGTTGCTGTGAAGTGCGCTGACTTAAGGTGAGGATTTGAAGCGGCAGATGTGAAAAGAGCGGGATAGGGGGTCTCTTGATCTCAATTTTTTTCTTGTCGCCTTTTCCTTCGAATTCACGATTTCCTTTTTCTTCCCTGTTGACGTCAGATCGCGTAGGGGGTGGGGGGGGGGGGAGGGGAAAGAGTGGGAGGGCCGGCAGAGGGATACTAAGGGTAACTTTTCGATTATTCCTCTTGTTGTTCCAGTCACTTTATTCCACGAATCCTGGCGTTAAGTGTTTGGTTTTTTTGTCAAGAAGCAGCATGAAAACTAGTGAAAGCCATATTCATTTACCAATTCAGTAACTGTTGCACAGATACAATAAATAATACTTAAAAACGACGATGAAGTGAGATTTTGCAGTAATGTAACATAACAGAAATTGTACTTATGAACTCCAACTTTTGGGAAGACTCTAAGCTTCGTTTGGTTGATTTTGGTTTTTTTTTTTTGACAGGCAAGTTACTCTGTTTGAAGAATTCATGCTGCTAAAAGAGTTCGAGAAAAGAGAGAACAGCTTTGCTAACAAAGTAAACACCAAACTTTCTGAGAAGGAGGAGATGCAGGAGAAGGTATTAAGAAAGACTTCACAGCGATGTGCTGTTTGTTTTTTTCTTCAAACGTTGATTGTCGTGTGGCAACTCAAAAAAATATTTTTATATTCCAACTCATTTTTTGAGCATTGCTCCAGCGCTCATTATTGTTTTGTCGATTTTATTAGGCCTGGCGAAACTGAAAAACCTATGTTCTTGCCGGCGCACGCAACCAACGCTGCTTTGTGTTCAAAACACCTGAGAAATTTGCATTTTCATCTTCGAACTCCTGCGCGTATCACGTGCAGTCTGCGTAGAAGTGTATAAACTAATTGGCCCTACTCAAAGGACAGATTAGCTGGCGCTATTTTTGCATATCTATTTGCGGAAAATAATTGCGGGTCCAGCCAGTTAAAACTAATGGAAACAGGTGTTCGTCTAATCTTTTGGTCTTGGCTTGAACGATAACGGATCAAACTTGTTTCTCCTCCAGGTGGAAGACTGTCAGTTGAAATTAGACTCTAAGAAACAAGACATCGAAAAACTCCAGGAGCAGGAAAAAGCGCTGTACACCACATTCACGGCAGCTCTTGGCGAGAACAACAAGTTCGAGTCGTTTTTGACACGCGTTTTTAAGAAAAAAATCAAACGTGCCAAGAAGAAAACTCAAGCTGAGGAGGGTTCGGACGAAGAAAGCGAGGATGAGGACAGCGACGAGGATTTGTCATCCAGTGATGAAGAGGATTCTGACGCAGAGGAACTGGACGACAGCGTGTGTCCACCAGGGTGTGACCAAGCTTTGTTCGATCAGGTGTGTTACTAATCCTTAGTATGTGGGGACTATTGCAAGAAGGAGTGGCTGACGCTGTGGCCTCGTGGCTTGCGCGTCGGAATATGGATCGAGAGTTCTGGGCCCAAGCCTTGCGTGGGCCAATGTGGTGTGTTCTTGGGCTAGACAATTGGATACTTTCAAATTGTCAGGGAAACCTGGTGAATTGCTTGGAAATAACCTTCAATGGAACTAACGTCCCGTCTAGTGGGGACTAATGATGTTCAAACTGCATTATACTGCGGACAATGGAATAAGTTTCGACAGCAATATACCACTAGGCTCGAGCAACTTAACTTGACTTTATTCGTATTTACTGAAATCAGTTTCGCTGAGTTTCTATGTGAGTTTTTTAAATTTATCGTCATGCGGTTTAATCATCAGGTTCTTGCTCGGGTAGAGAGGGTAACCGTATCTTCTGCTTTAAAACAAGTCAATTGCGTAGTTGATTGATTGACATGTTGACTAACTGATTGACTTGCTGATTGATTGGCTGACTTAATGATTGACTGGTTGATTGATTGATTGATTCATCGCTTGATTGATTGATATGGGTGCTGATTTTTATATCTCGATTCAAGGTTTGTCAGCTACGCGAACGCCGCTTAGACCTGGAAGAAGAATTGGCAGAAGAGAAGAAAACAAGCGAGTCCTTGAAGAAGGAATCTGACGCACTTGTAAAGAAAGCAAAGATCATCGATGGTGCCTTAAAAACAGCAGAAGCTGATTTGGAAGCTTTCCAGGTAAGCAGAATGAATGAAATGTAATTTACTGCCATTTTAAAATCATAAAAATAAAACAGCGTATGGGATCGTTTTGCGGTAGATTAAAAAAAATTGTTTGAATTGGAGTAAAATCTTAATTCATAATTTGCAATGTCGAACAAAAGCCGTTGAGATGAACCGGAGTGGATAGGGATTGTTTAAGGATGAAAAAGATTTTAATGCTTGGATTGCAAATCATAAACGTGAGTCTTTCAAGATGCGTAATGCGCAACAGAGCTCCTTAAAACTTGCTAATCAGCTTTTTTTTTCGAAATAATTTTAGCGTGAGAAGCAGCAAAAACTTAACGAACTGGACGTGGTTGTGGTGCTCAGATTTCATCAGATCCAGTACATGATAAACAGTGTGCTGCCTCAGGATCTGTCGCAGTGTCTTGTTTTTAACAGCCCTGGACTGGTACGACTACAGCACAGGATCAAAGAGCTGGAAAAAGAGAAGGCCGAGCAGAAGAGACTTTATAGGTACGATAAAAATATGATTTGCATCTTAAATTCTCTTTTATACAGACAATTATAAAATTAATTTATAATTGCATTAGTTGTTTAGCTCACCCAAATCTGAGTTGTTTTATTCATCTTTTAGGGAGCATCGCCAGACTCATGTGCAGCTCATCCGCGACAAGAAAGTCCAGGAAAACAGGGTAAGGTTACTGTGCAGCATCTAATCGGCCAAATCACAGGAAGCCCACTATTGAACTGATGTGCACGAAGCAGTGTTCTTTTTCGGGAGAACTGTCGCACATAACAACAACAACAACCAAGTAACCAAAATTATGGGCCCAAAAAAACTCTAAGAATAGTAACAGAGTAACGGTTTCTTTAAAAACTGGATTCTTTGATCATCCTTTTTTCGCCATGCGATCGGGCGTTGCAAGTGATTACTATCTTTTCTTTGGCCGCTCCCCACTCGCTGATGCTCTTCGGATTGAAAATAAAGAAACAAATAAATGAATAATTGAGTGAGAAAGTAGATAGGAAAGGTAAAAAACTCACAAAATTACCATGACTTATTAAGTAACACTGCATCGTAATGTACTTCGTCCTTAGATCGGTGAATTGGAAGAGAAAGTTCGTAACATGTTGATGTTGAAATTTGGCCGATTGGTGGATCTGGAAAAGCTTGAGACTGTTACAGTAAACAGAACTGTCGAGGAACTAAAGGAGAAACTGAGACAACAAGAGTCTAAGAGCGCCGCGGAGATCGCCAAGTGGAACGTGAGTTCTTCTTTAAAACTTTACGTCAAAAGTATCGGGGGGGGCAAGTTTGCAATACTTCTCTGCTTATTTAGAAATTATGTTATTGGAAAAAAACAAAACTGTGATTTCGCAGTCAAATTCTCCCCACATCACAGATTTCTGGTTCTGCTCTTTCTTTACTTTCACCACCGAATTGGTTGTCGAGACCTACTCCTGGTTTAAGTTGATTGTTGTTGTTGTTGTTTACTTAGAGCAAGATTGACTCGTACAAGGGCAAGGTGACGCAACTTACTCGGGAGAACACGCAGAGATTGGACACTTTCACTGTTTTATTGCAAGAAAAGAAAGAGCTTGAACAGATGCTGAACTCACGACAAAAGTCACTTGGTACGGAGTTTACCGGAAGTCGTAAGGCTGACATCCGGGAACGGCAGCGTTTGGTCCAGCTGGTGCAATTACAGGCTCAAGAAATCGACGCTCTCAAGGATGAAATAACTTTGCTGTCACGTAAAGGCGGGCATATTCTTCCACCGGCACAACCACCCCTCCCTCCTGGACAAACGCCCATACCCAATCAATAACTTGTTATCGATTTTTTCTCGAAAAGCCGAGTTTTGAGTGTAAGAACTTAGTAGTTCTCAGGGTTTTTTTCGTTGTTCGCGTAATTTTTTTTATACATGCACTGTAAATAATGGAATGGAGTATGAATATTGGTTAGGATTTCAAAGATTATGTTCAAGCTCCGAATAAAAATACTTCGCTTTGAAATCGGATGAGATCTTGTGTGAATACGTTCTTCACTGTCATCACAAGGAGATTGCTTAGCAGAACAAAACCTGATATGTAGTAGCAAACAGAGAACTTTTTCAACTGCTTTAATCAGATTCCTTGCAATCACGAGTGTAAACCCTAATCACACACAAAAACCACCTTTCACAAAATCGTCAATTCCTCAGACATCGTTAAGTCTGCCTCTATAACGCAAGCATCAGTTTTTTCATTAAAATTTCTTCCAGAATTTTCTTGCGTTAAACGTACTCCTTTGAAACTCAGCACCGCTAGGAACTTGATAACGCTTTTGTAGAACTGCAATCAAACCCAACGAATTTCATTATTTTCATTAAGCGTTAGCCGAGGAGGCCTGAATGATGACGAACGACCACTTGACATCCCTGGCGGAAAATCTCGCGCTGATCCTTGGCTAGTGGGGAATCTAGGAACGAGTTAAGGATGAATTCTTTGCTCCTTTTCATTCGTTCCTGCAATTTGTCCCGTCAATTACGAAATTACTCGAAAAGTAATTTTTTTACTATGTATAAGAACAAACTGAGGCGCGATTTCTAGTATTTAACGCTATTATAGCCCACCGAGTTAATATATAGGCCTGAAAAAAAAACTAAGTTAAAAACGGAAAAAGGATACGAAACTGCTCTGTCTTCCAGCCCCCTTGCGTTATTAACATGCAGCCCTGCCTCGCGCCGAAAATTACGAAGCCACTCGGCATGAGACTGCAATCGCTCAGCGGTGCTTAACTCCTTCTCCGAGGTCCAGACCTTCACGGTTGCTGGCTCCCTTTTAAGGGTAAATCAATAAAAGAAGAAGAAATCTTAGAGAGAATGACAGCCTATTCATTTGGGTGTCGTCCAACCAAAATTAGAAAAATAATACAGTTGTGTTGTTAGCGTAGCCAAAATTAAAAAAAAAAACCACTCTCGGATTTCCTTGCGACACCCAGCTCAGACTATAAAAAGAAAGTGCATCATTTTACGTACCTTGACCCCGACAGACTAATGGTAGGTCCGAGAGAAAGTGAGGCTGGCGAGTCACGTGACTGATCTGAAATAGGAAATAAAATGGCATGGTGTTCTCTACGATATAATCATGCGAATGGAGATAAAAATACGTTAGCACTCAAATTAAGCCATTTATATTCTTCAATGTTTTTAAAATCGTTGCTGTTTAGTCAAGATGTGAACGTCACCTCCAAAGTAGGATCTCCATTTCCTTTCCAGTTGTGACTCAGTGCTCTCTTGGTTTCTGTACGGAGCCTGGAATTGCGGAGGGGCGCTATTCAAAGGATTGCTGTGGCAAACGATAAAACAGGTGAATTAGATCTAAGCTTTCTAATGTCTACGGCACTCGTGAAATTTTAATCTTAATGGTGTCCTGAGTAAGACTTTCAATCCGATCGATCAAGTAGAAAAGGAAATAAGCATATGTATGGTAATTTAAAAGAGAATGACACACAGGTAAATCCAACTGCAATAGTTATTTAACCTCAAGCAAGCCCGCCACATTTTAGGTAAACCGTTATTGTATTGTGGCGCTTCTTGATTTGCTTAGCATAAAGCAACTGGGAGTATTGCGGCTCCATCATACAGAATACTGGTCCAATACTGGCAAAACTTGTAACAAAGGAAGCATGGCCTTGGCTACGATATACCGGTCTATGCTATGATATACCAGGGACAACGACCCCTCTTAAAAGAAATCGTCGAAAAAGCTCACAAAGTACTAGTTTGTCCTTGACGGCTGGGTACCGCAGGACCTCCGGTGGGAACCACAGGAACACCAGCACCTCTCGAACGATAAGGTTCTGTTGTTGTGCCAGACTGATAAGGGGCCTGGGCTTGACTGACCCGACTTCCTTCAGGATAAACAGGCGCGGCAAGCGGCTCCCTGAGGGCATCAGGAAACGGCTGCGTGACATGCTTAGCCCTGAAGGGGGCCGGCGTGACACTTGGGTAAGTAAAGGATGGTGTACGAGATTGAAGTAACGTTAAAATTCGCGCCAAGTCCGTGTTTATCTGCTGCAAAGAGTAATGAACAGCTTCGGAGCTGTCTTCACCAGTGGAGGGTTTCCTCAGGTTTCTGGGAAGGGCCATTTTCGGCTGTCTGCTGCCCATCTTGACGTCACTTCTTCTTACGTTTCCGCTTATGACGTCACCATAGTCGCTACTGCTGATGCCGCTGCTGTCGTCATCATCAAGAGTCTTACGCGGCGTTTTCCGAGGACGGTGCCTGTCTCTTGTTGGGCGAGCGTTTTTGGAATACCCAAGGAACGTGTCTTCTGAGTCCGAGGCCGTTGACTGTAAATCAAAAAGAAAACATTCGTAACACTTAAAGAGGGTAGTACTATTCACGTTAGTTGAGAGAATTTGGCACTTGATGCGCATCGCGAAATTACTTAAAACCCATCAATTTCAAGCAAGATAATTTCGAGTATAATAGCAACGATAATAGCTTACCATTCCGCCTAACAAGGCATTCTCCAAAACCCTGAGCCTATCTTCCTTCTGTCTCAGCAGTTCTTGGCCAGCGGTCATGTTGTCCATTACCACTCCAAGCTCCGCTTCCTCCTGGGAAACAACAAAATATCAACAGTGTAAGGCTCCTAAATGAACAAGAGTGCATGGAGACAAGAACACATCTGGCCGTGCTGTATAAGAATCATATGTACCACAATCGGTCAGTTTGCCAATTCTAGGCAAGTAAACACCCTCATGGAATGCATCTTAAATCGGGTGCTAAAGAACCAAAGCGAAAGTAATCAAAAAGACCTTACAGAGCAAAGGAAACCATCAAAAGGAACCAGTCGCTACTTGCTGAGGGTAGTGTGATATTTCTTGACCAATCAAAGGGCGCAATGGAGTGAAAACCAAATTAACACCCTGCGACTTTCGACACTTACTGGAAAACTACCCTCGAGTTTTCCAAAAATCTTTTCCTATGGTCCTCCTCAAAAGGGAAAAGGAGAAAGAGAAGGAGTCCAGGCGCGACGGAAAATGGTAGAGTACTTTCCAGAGTTTTAATCTAAAAGAAAAACCGTCTTTACCTCGTCTAAGCGTGTTCTTACATCTTCCAAAAAATTAGCATTACGACTGGACAGCGGCTGCAAAAGGAGAAAGAGGAGTCAACGTATAAAACTCTCCTGAATTATTCTCACCACTCCAGAGTAGTTTGAGTTATGCATGTTAAAACAAACCTTTCCTCGTGAAATGTTCCGCGACACATCATTTGTCCATTCTTTCCGAGCGTCTTCTAAAGCGACCTGATGAGGAGGAAAACCCTTGCTACGTAAAGAAATACAGTCTGTAATCGGATCAGAATTGGCCCATTTATCGTATGTTATCGCAATACGAGGTGACTAGCTGTGTTCTTTATCTCTCTTAATAAGACGCTTTTCCACCGTGGGTTACAGGTAAGGAATCCAACTGGCACCATTTAAATTACATAGTTTCGTTAAAAGTCGTAATCTAGCATGGAACAAAGACATTATCCTACACCTGTATAACTTGATACTCGAGATCAAGGGTCATTGCGGGAAGCTTTCCGTAAATCTTTCTTCTTTTACATGAAGAAATTGTGATATGTTCATAATAAATCAATGAAGTTTTTGAAAATTGTTGAGTGCATCTATTAAAGATATCATCAGGTGGAGGTGAATCGTACTCGTTTAACCCTAATCTAAAATTCTGCTTACTTGTCTTCGTTGCACAGAGCGCCGTTGTCGTCGTAAGAACTCCTTTGCCCTTGTTATAGCATCTCCTTCCTGCACAATGCGGCTTTTCAATTCACTGCAAGAAAAAGCACGAACTTTTTAGTCCAAACTTGTTGACCAGTCCTTTTCTTCCCAACTTGAATTCTCGCGCAAATCAATAAAAATCGGAGAAAAAGTCTCGACTCGCTTTTCCGAGTGCCTCGCTCCCAAAAGTTCACGCGGCGCCAAGACTGCCTTGAGCGCCGGATTACGCTCTCAAATTAAATAGGAACTGTTCTGTGATGCTGATGAAGGTACAGAACCAACACAACTTTTCATCAAATTCTATTCTCAGAGGCACCAGAGCTTAGCTAAACCCTATCCTGGTAACCTGAATACTAATTTTCCAGTTTTAGTGATAGTGCCTTTTTATAATAGTGCAGGACTGTCTAATGTGTGACTTTCTCACCTGTTACGAAGTTCAGCTTTCTTCTTTAAATACAAAAAGGTTCCTTGCACATCCTCGGAAGAACTTTCATCAGATGAGATGTCCGCTACAAAATATTATAAGAATACGTAATTAGCCCCGAAAGAAACTTCACAATACCTTTACCAATATTTATACTGAACAGTTAGATGAGCTCGAGATTTCTATCGCGTGTTATTTGACGAAGACGAAGCCCTTATCAACTATCACGCATAGAAATCGAGAGGGAGTAATCTAGTTGTTTTAGTACAAATCTACTGGTCATTAAACGCTTAAGAACAAGATAGGCTTATGGTTATGGTTCATTCTGTTTACAACTGCAACCTGTCGGGCAAATCACCTGACTCACAATCTATCATGGAATAGATAGCGAGTGGCTTAACTAAGCAGATCGCAGCATTCGTAAAAGAACGTTGACAAATTTGTACTAAATTAGTATTTGAGCGCTTTTCAACTGTGAGTTGTACAACCAAAATCCTGGTAATAACAGTGACCGGAAATGCAAATATCACAAGAAGCCAGAAGTAAATAACGCACAACACATACCAACCTGGCGTCAAGTACAGGTAAACACGCGAACCTTTAGCTTTGCATCTCATTGGCTGAGAGAGCGGCGTCCGTTTTCTGAGCTTAGAATTAGTCTAACCTGCACTGACATACATTGTCACTCACCTAAATCGAAAGCTCTCCCCAGTCCACCAGGCTCTTTGGGTGCTCGGACTCCTGCTGAGCCTTTCTTGGCCGTAGAATGCACAGGTGCCCGGGGAGAGAATTCACCTGGGGAAAGGTCCTCGCTGTCTGAACGAACTGTAAACAAAATACTAACATTTTAAAGAGGGAGATCAAATTTGTAAAGAATTGAACTGCAAAGAACATTCCAACATAATAACTTAAGGCAGTGGAGAAGTTAAAGATGACGGAGAAATCAGATTATCGCCACGAAGTCTTTAAATACACAGCATTGCTTAAAATAAACTGCTGTGCGCCTTTTATCGACAATGCACCTAGTTTCAAGCATTGGAGCGCTTTTCTACTGCGCGTCGTAGAACTAGAACCTGTGGGAACGGCCTATCAGAATAAAGGACAATATTACAATGCACTAATGAGAGAATTATTGTAAATGGACTCTCACGCAGGGAAACGTTAGCAACTAGTTTACGATTGGCATCCGTTTTGTTGTATCTGACTGGTTGAGAAGGAGGGGCGAATTTTTGGAACCAATCACGAAGTGAAGAAAAGCAAAGGAAATCCCAATTTACTGTACACATTCAATAAGAAAGCGCTCCTCATGACACTAAATTGGGCTTTAGATCTGAAATTTAATGTGGAATTGAGCATTTGATTGATATTATCAATCAATACTATCGGGGGATTTTACCCGGAGGAGAAGTGAGAGTTACTAACGCGCCTGCTCCGATAATATAACAGATCAAATCGCATTTTGATTAATTAATCATTAAAAATTATAATCATAGTACCTTTCATGTCTGAAGGTGGCACCAGACGATTGCCCTATAAAACAAAAATGAATATTATTGTTTGAACGTTCTATTAGGTTACTTAGTTTTGATGTACATGTAATACAACTAAATAGTTGTGTTGTGAGCTTCCGGAAATGTTCTAAAACACTTTGTAAATGTATATAAGGTCTCAGTCGTGTAGTAGTAGTTAGTTGTTGTGGTTTTCGGGAGAGACTAATTATCTGGAAAGCTATACCGAGAGAGCTACACCTGTATTGTGGAAGATTGTTTATTTCGAGGAACTTTGGAGACAACTGTGAGATTGTATCAGTGGTTACCTAACTTATAGTTTGTAGTGGGCTTAAGTAAGTTTATAAAGGATAATTACTGTATTGTCTGTAAGAGTCGCTCCCAAGTAAGAGTATTAAAAGTTGTTTAATACAGTTGTTGTGTTTGTAAGAGTGTAGTGTTCTTTCTTTCGGTCAAATTATACAGTAGTAAAGAAAAATTAAGGGTGTATAGAAGTATAGGTCTTAAAAATAGGGACACGAAGGCGTTCCTTGCCTGAAAGGCAAACCGCTGATCGCAAGTACACTTAAGCAACTTTTCAAGTTTCCCCATGCACCTAGGTGGAGAGAGACACTGTATAGTACCTTACCGAAGAGTACAACACAAAGACCTAGTCAGGGCGCGGCAGAGCTGAATAACGAAATGCTACGTGACAGGTATGTGGTCTATAACGCGGGCTCAAGCGCACGAGGTTTAAAATTCAGCGAAATTTGCGGAGGAAAAAGGGCTGGCATTTAAAACCGAGGCGTTTGTTGATAGGGTCAAGGAAGGTACCTGAGTAGCGGAAACACCAGGAGGTTCCAGGTCCTCGACATGCAGGGCTTCATCTTCAGAACCCAAATCAGCCCCTTGTTTTTTGGGCCTTTTCTTTACATCTCTAACTTTCGATGTGGAGGCCACTGGCTTATCAAGACCATTGTCATTTACCAGGGTGTCTTCGTGTTCACCGTTAGTGACGGTTTTTCTTGAAGTTTATCTCGCTGAATCAGAAGGTCTTGCAGCTCTTCACTCTGCTTTCGACAACTTTCTTTCAGTTCTTTCAGATTTTTCGTAAGATTGCTGTGATGAAGCAATTAAAAGAGGATTAATTACAAGAATACCCAGAACTCTCTCTATAAACACCTGCCTATGGTGTAACGAGCAGCTGTGCCCGTCAAAGAGGTCGTGAGGCGAAACTCAAACACGAAAGCTTGCTCACAGGCTCAATAGACAGCAGTAAGAGATCTTAAAGGCGGCGGTAGAGCACTGGTAACCACATTTTCTTGAAACCCGTGATTAACAATGAGGTAACGCAATGACATTCGTGTGTAACGGTCGAAGCTGGATGATAGCATCACGCAGTCTGGTAACCAACCTGATATCATGCTGAAGCTCTTGTTTAGTTTTGCTTAACTTGTCCAATTCGATTTCAAGGTTCTTTTTCAATCTGTAAAAAAGAAAAGAAACCACTTGATATCTCATATGACCCTCGTGTTGGCTCCCAAAATCAACTGGTATGGTGAGCCATTAACCCTTTACACTCTCGCATCAATGTGTATATTCTCCATACTGCTCCTTATACATTTTCTGTGGTACCTACAAGGAGAGGTTGTTTTCAATCGGGAGTGTCTTTGGTTGCTGATCATTTCCGTTATTCTCATGACCTCAACGACACTGTAAGGAGAACTTTGATGCTAGTCAGCCTCAGGGGTTAAAGGGTTGAGTTAAAAATAAAGCGTTAAATACCGAATTAATAAATTAATATCACGAAATTCGAAACATGAACCTGTTTAATTTGTTTAAGTCACGTTCACTACTTGAGATGGCTGCCTTGATCTCATCTAACTGAAGCCTTGCCAGTGTTTCATCCTCTCCTGTCGATGCCGCTGCTTGCTCGCCGGCTCGAGCCAGAGCCTGCGGGAAAGAGACGATAAAACCAGATGACCTTACATTTGCGTAATAGCAACAAAAAGGAAAAAACACAATGTTAAGCATACAGTACAAGAGAAGTAAGAATATACCAGCAAGGAACCACAGTTATGACATAACAACAAATTCTCAATATTAGCCAAGAAGGAATGTGTAATCATTGGTCAGGAGAACAGGCCGGCTTTTTAATCAGAGGAGTGAAAGTTTTTTAAAATTACCTCTCTCTGCTGCACAAGTCGCTTTCTCTCCTCCTCTATTTCCTCTTGATTCTCCTCCAATGCTCTCCTCTATGAAAAAAGAACCAAAGGGGAAAAAGGGAAAATATTCATGAGTATCAAGGAAAGATTTTAGTCTTTCATCGGCGAAACTCCTAACGCATGTGCTGTAGCAAGCAGAAAAATTGTTTTTATTATTGTAGTGACAAGTGAAACTGACAAGCACGAGTCTTCGTAACTAGTGAGTAAGGAATATCAAAGATTTAACGCTTTAAATGCAAGTTTATGGCGGTCAAACCACCAGATTCTGCGATTTCACCCTAGCAAATGTAATCAATGGAACTCATCGCCTGAAGAAAACGAACGCTTTGCAGTCGACACATCGCGCTCCACATCTAAATTACAGCGAAACAAACGATCATGCTTTATCATTGGTTGTATTTCAACACGAAGTATGACCGCAACCTTTCCTAATGATATTGAATGTTAACGGAAAAAACAGTTCAAGTTGGCATACCTGGGCGGCTAATTCTTCCTCCTCTTGTTCCAGTGCCTCGCGCAGCTTGTGAAGATTGTCTCGTTCGGTTGCCATACTTGCTTCCTGATATTTCAATTGAAAAAAACTACCGCTATTTAACAGTACATTAAGTTTGTATAAAACGAAATTGTTCGCGAAGAAAACAAATCTTAGTGAGGGGAATTCTGTAACTTAAGCCACTAGCGAAACTGAAGTTTAAGACTTCGAAAACGAAATTTCCGCTCAGCGTTTAATCTGAACGCCAAGCAAAACCAACTTCACCTTGACATAAACTATAAAATATTAGATATATTATAATATATCAAAGTTTTTCGCATTTAGCATAAAGAAGGAATGCGTCAATGGTGTAAACGTCTGCAACCTACGCTTCCACTACTGAACTACGTGATGATCAAATAACGTGGCTTTAAACTAAGCTAGCAGAAGAGCAGAAAAGCAACCTTTGCCACACCATGAACCTCTAATCATAGTTCTTCAAAGCATCTCAACCAATGGTTAAAACTCAAACTCAGTAGGAAACAAGAGACTAGTGCCTAGCAGCGCGTATTTCAAGCCCACTTTTCCACGGCCATGCAGTGCCTCTACTCTTATTTGAAACTGAGAAGTCATTTTCGGAAACACAAAGTAGAAACAAACCATTTGGTTCAATTCGCTTTGCAGCTGGTTCTTCTTAGTTTCCATCTCCTGTCGTAGCTTGTTCACATTCTTTTCGTGTTCGTCTGTTAAGTTCCTCTTCTCCTTTTCCCATTTTTCGCTCAAGTCAAACCTTTCCTTGGTCTCCTGTTCACACAGTTTTAACAAGCGCGTGAAATACACGATTCAGTAAAGTAGAGCATACAAATAGAAATATATTCAAGCCATGCGCGGCCATTTTTTTTTCTCATAGTGCCTCTCCATACCAAAATTTCCTGGAAACCTGGAAAAATGCCGCGGGAACCTGCGATGAAATAGCTTCCTTTCCTTTCCTTCCCTCCTTCCATTCGAATGAATGTCAAAAGTAATCCAGGTTTGCCTTAGTTTTGTTTTACTTCGGTCTGTGATTAGTTTAGAAAACTCGCGCCACGCTCTATACCAATCACAGGCCAAACGAAAACCAATCGTAACTTGGTCGCCTGCGTCTTCCGGCGCATTTGGAAGTTTACCGGCCCGTTTTTACTTTGAGTCCTCATTGGCTAATGATGACAAAAGCCTTTATTGTGATTGGCTGTTGTAATAACTTTGATTTTGGTTTCACGAGAATCGAATGAAAATTGCTTTACACGAATTCCCCAATTTTTAAGGAGAATATTTTGCTATATCACATTACCTGTTCCTTCCACTCTTGTTTTATGCTGTAAATTTTCTTCTCATATTCTTTCTGCAAAGCCTCCTACAAAAATTGTTTTAAAAAGTTAAAAAAGGGAAATTTTAAATTTTAAAAGGTGAATCCTTTTAAAAATGGTATCTGTTGAAAAAACTGAACTCAAGGGTGAAAGAGCGAAGCGGTGGCCGGGTGGTTACCGAGCTGGACTCCGCTTCGAAAGGTCTGGGTTCGAGACCTGGTTGGAGTCAATGTGTAGTGTTCATGGGCACTCTACTCTACTCTACCCCCAGACCAGAGTAGCTGTAAAGTTTCCTTGCAACCCGAAGAAATTTGCTTGGGGGCTTAACACTGGCATTCTATTCAGGAGAAGTAGCAACGTTCTCAGCCACAAACGAAAGAAATCGGTCGAAGTGGCGACAGTGAACAGTTACTAGGTCCTCAAAATTTCGCCAAATAGTCGCTCAACTTACTAGCTGTTTCTCGTTCTTAGCTTCTAAATCTTTTCTCCTTTTCTGAAATTCCTGTTGAGCCTTTCAGGAAAGACAAAAATAATAATTAGCGAAAGAAATTTTCTAGGCGTGAACAAGACGCCGTCTGGGATTTTTCCGACAAAAAAGGAAAACTTCCTTCGACCATCAAATTGTCTGAACAATAACTATAAGCAACCAATGCCAAAGGGTGAAGAGAACTTCCAGATCACTTTTACCTCTACATCCAGTGAGTCCATACTCATAGTGAAGTTAGCTTTGGATTCCGCCGCAGATCTGCGCGCAGCAGTTAATTCGCTGTTTTGCGCCACTTCTAACTCACTCTTCAGTTCCTGCAATGCTTTCTCGTGCTTCTCGGCTAGCTCCGTTTTTAGTTGTTGTAGTTCGTACTCATTGTTTTGCTGCAGCTCTTCCAACGCCTGCAATATATGAATTATAATAAAAGTAGTGATATGCATTCAAATTGCGCATTTACATGCGTTCAAGGCTCTTTTTGCGAGGGACTTTAACGAGACAGCATGTAGCATTTTACTAAGAAGGGCAGGATATTTCTCTGAAAATGATTCGACGCGAAGTATTTTAAAACAGCCACCCTTTCAAACGTACCATCTCTTTTTCTTTTTCTAATTTCTCTCTTAATTTCTCCCGTTCTTCCGCCATCTTGTCGTTCTCTTGCTCCTCCTGTTCTTCCAGCTCCTCTCTGAGTGCTTTCAAAGCCTCTTTCTTTTCCTTTCTCAGTTCAGCCTCTTCCTGTTCTTGTTCTCTTTGTATCTGCTGTTTTAGCTTCCGCATCGCATCCTGTTTACCTTCCTGTAACATGGCTTCCTCCTCTAAAGCGTCTTCTCTGGCTTTTTCTCCGAGTGTTTTCATCACAGCATCGTGTTCCTTTGCCAGTCGTTCTTCCTCACTGTCCTGTTCTTTTCGATATTGCTCTTGGAGCTTCCTCAGAGCATCTTCTTTCTCTTTCTGTAGTTTCTGCTTTGCCTCGTTCAGTTCTTTCTCAGTGGCTTTCCTCATGTCTTCGATTGCTTTGGCTGCTTCTTTTGCTAGCCTACAAAACACATCGTAATTTTCCTGACAGTTACATCACCAAACTTTCAAGGTAGAACTGTATCAGACTTATGATTACCATAGACACTGTAAAAAGGAAACCCGGGTTTTTTAAATTTGAGATAAAGAGAGCTTATATTTACTTTTCTTTTTCCTGATTCTCTGCTTGCTCTTGTTCCCTCTGATCTGTTGCTCTTCTGCAATTGAAGACATGAAGATTCAAAACACTAAACAGCCACCAAGGAATTGCATCATCAGTACTTAGAGCAATTTTCGATTGACCGTCGAAAGTAATCTGTGATTGCATTGGTTTCATTTTACTTCGCTCTGTGATTGGTCTCAGAAAACGCAAGCCATTTTTTCAACCAAGGATATTCAATCCGAGATTACATTGATTGATTAGTTTTACTTTACTTCACTCGGTGATTGGTCCAAAAAACTCACACCAGTTTATCAACCAATGAGATTCAAAACCAAAACAATTGCGATTTCGTCAACCGTGTTTGCTTGTTTTCACTTGGAGTTCTCATTAGCTTCTTGGATATATTTTCTTTGCCCTGATTTACGGCTTATATAACTATGGTTTTGGTTTTAGGACACTCAATTGTTTTAAATTGTGTTAATTCTTACAGCTTTGTTTCTGGTGTCCTTATACCTACAATTGTAGATTCGTGCGTCCTACATGTACCCTTCGTCCGACCTTACTTTCGGTTTTTAGACATGCAGCTTAGCAGGTGTCACTGGTAAAACTGTTTGTAACGCTCTGATTATTGCAGCGTTAAAACCCTGATAACCACTGCGTAAAAAAAGGCCCTTCACTTGACGATACAGCTGGGATTTTCAAATATATTCTCACTCTTACCTTTCTGCAGCCTCTGCTTGTAACGTTGCTCTCTGTAACCTGTCTTCTTCCTTATTCGTTGTTACACCACTCTCCTTGTTACTAGGAAATGAAAAACACACACACACACACACACCAAATTTAGGATATAAGTTAAGGATTGCTCGTGAGTCTGGGAGTAATAAGTGGGCATCTGTCAACTTTTCGGGCACTAGACAAAATGGGGGGGGTGGGGTGAGAAAGGTTAGGGAAACGCTGGAGAGGGAAGGAAGAAAGGATAAACCTACAACACTTTTTATTATCCATTTACAAGCAGGAGAAAATGCCGGAAAGCTCCACAACCTTTAATAAACCCAACATTCAGGAGTCATAGTTGGCTAACCCCCTCAATCCACTCGATTAAAATGGACATTACTCAGAAATTGAGAAAAAAAAACAAAAGTCGTAGATAGTTTAAGGCCTGGTAGAGGTAAGAAAGTGCCCAGACCTGTTTCTGCATGAGAATGTTTTTCGTTTTGTTTGGCCAAAGAAGAAGAAGTTAAGAAGCTGCGTCTGTGCATAATCAATTAGTCTAAACATTAGGGGTTGGACTCTCTTGAATAGTATCTGTGTGATTTATTCGTTTCTCTCCTCTTGTCTTATTTGTCGTAGACGGTTTTGGGTGTTGCCATCATCCAATTACAGTACTATTGTAGTCATTGTTGTTTACCTTGAAGGACTTGGATCTCGAATCAAAATATCGCTACTCCTCACCCCAGCCATCGTCCTTACACTACTGCTCACAGCTGCAAGTCCACCAGCTTGAGCCTGGAAGGAAAATTTGGAAACATCACAAGCTCATTTGGGGAGGAAATAGGGTGACCTAGTGGTTAAGACACTGAACTGCGGGCCAAGAGGTCTGGGTTTGAAAGCTGGAAAGGTTATAATGTTGTGTCCTTAGGCAAGATACGGTGCACTTTACTCTCACAGTGCTGCTCTCCTCCCAAGAGTATAAATGGGTAGTGGCAAATTATCGGTTTACAGTCAAGTCGCCCGAGAGTCATCTCGCCCGAGAGTCATCTCGCCCGAAACCTGAGTCATGTTGCCCGAAATTTTATTTATGTCGCCCGAAAAAAAAATCAAGTCGCCCGAAAAAATAAATTAATCTAAAAAGATCTGAATTTCAGACTGTTAATAGGCAATAACGTTGAGAAACTTTTTTATCACTAAAGCGCTCTTTTTTTCCAACAACACCATGAAGATTCTGAAAGCGTTGTTCGTTCCTTACAACAAAGGGAAACGTTGTCCGTTTCCAACAACAAAATGCAGCGTTGTTCGTTTGGTATGTAATCGTTTCTTACTCACAGACTTTTCGTAAGCTTGAGAAAGTTTTTCTTGGTTTCTAACAATATCATGAAGACTTTCTGATCTTTTTAGTATTTGTTTCTTCGAGCGACTTGACTTTTTTTTTCGGGCGACATCACTACACAGAAATCGATCGTATGCTCGGAATCGAAATATGTTTGAGTAACGATTCTAAAAGCGTTGTTCGTTTCTAACTACAAAGGAAAACGTTCTCCGTTTCTAACAAAAAAATAAAGCGTTGTTCGTTTGGTATGTACTTGTTTCCTACTCACGGACAGTTCGTAAGCTTGAGAAACTTTTTCTTGGTTTCTAACAAAGCCATGAAGACTTTCTGATCTTTTTAGTATTTGTTTCTTCGGGCGACTTGACTTTTTTTTTCGGGCGACATCACTAAAATTTCGGGCAACATGACTCAGGTTTCGAGCGAGATGACTCTCGGGCGACTTGACCGGTTACCCAAATTATCATATGAGGTGAACCTAATGACGACTTTTGGGTCACTTCCGCTCACATAAAACCATTCAAAATGTGGCTGACTTTCACAGACAACAGTCTTTTTTAAGGACTACTCACACTCAGACAATAAGAAAACATGATCAATTAACTCCACACGTGATCATCATGTGATTTCTCCGATGAAAATTTTTAAGATTATCCAGCAAACAAAATTGAGAAAAGAAAACTTATCCAGTGAATTGTTTGATCAAGATAGAACACCAAATTCTCTCACCTAATTAAAGGAAATGTATTGCAAATGATAGAAGGGAGAATAACCAATCAGATCATGGAGTTCAGCAGTTGACTTGGAAACTCTCGCTATAGTGTATTAAGCATTGTGCAAACTACCGCATTCAGTCAATCTGTCAGTTGGTTGACCGGTAACTTTGACAGTTGCTAACTTAACACAACATGCATGACAGGCACATATTGATTTTGTTGAAAATGGCCCAGTCATGAGCAAATTGGCACATTTTGTTTTCATGAAAGAAATACTAACAAAATACAAATTAGGGTCTTTTACATCGCAATATACACCTCTGACTTAGTAGCACTTTGTGCTGGACTTAAAAGCTCTGCACTCATTCCTTCCAGTCTGTCAGATAATGTCCTGTTGATACCAAAGTCCTGTACAGAAACAAAATCAACACAATTAATTTAAACACTTGATGCCAGTTATTCACACAAGGTCTATCCTACACGGTAACCGGTCAAGTCGCCCAGGAGTCATTTCGCCCGAAGTCATGTCGCCCGAAACCTAAGTCATGTTGCTCGAAATTTTAGAAATGTCGCCCGAAAAAAAAAGTCAAGTCGCCCGAAGAAACAAATACTAAAAAGATCAGAATTTCAGACTGTAAATAGGCAATAACGTTGAGAAATTTTTTTATCACTAAAGCGCTCTTTGTTTCCGACAACACCATGTGGGAACCAAATTTCCGTTTTCAGATCAGATCTTTTTAGTATTTGTTTCTTCGGGTGACTTGACATGACTCGGGTTTCAAGCGACATGACTTCGGGCGAGATGAGTCTCGAGCGACTTGACTGTAAACCATCCTACACCACCATTTTACACAATCAGTGGGCCTCAGACTTTCTTTAAAAGAGGGTTGATTTGGTTAAATAAATGTCCTTCCATTTTTAGCTTTTGGCCCTCTTGACACAGATCACAAAGAAAAAAAATGCAGCTTAACTGAGGACATAATTTTGTTAAACAATGACTAAACTTTGTTTAAATAATTAGACCTTATTTTTTGATTTATATGAATTTCCATTTTTTAAGTCCAAAAGTTGTGATAAGATGATTATAAAAGACCACTATGTGAATATATTTACTGACCTACCAATCATGTACCCTCCAAAATTTCATATGTCATCAGATGTAAAGTTGTACATAGACATGTTGCTATGACCCAAAGAAACCCTTGAAATTACAGGATTTTGATTTATGGGAGAAAATAAAATTCAAAATTTTCACTAAAAGGAGTGAAAGGGGAATTTGGGAAAATCAATTCATATCAATCAGGTCCATCATTCAATCATCCACAATAATTTTACAAAGGCCTAGACCATTGACTCTCTGTACATACACTGGCACAGTGCACATCACCTTTTTCAGACCCCAAAGGCACAGTTATAAAACAAAAAGTCAGTTTAGTGTGCTCACCACTTCTTCTCCATCATCAACATCACTCATCGATGGTGTGACAGGAGTCTTGATATTTGAGCTTTCTTCCACTTCTGAGTCCTAAATATACAATAATAGAACAGATTTGTGTTTAGTCTCTAACTGGTAATCATATCTTACAAAACCTAGTAAGTAATTTTAATATCTCAAAACAAAGAGGTTCTGGAGTTGAAATCCTATATAGTTTATTTTCTGTAGCCTTCATCTGAAGTCTATTGCTTAATATTGAATCTATAAATAATGGTTACCATTATAATAGGACTGAGTGGAGTCAAATTTAGTCTGTAATCATACAATTGATCATCAAAATTAGATGACCACAAAGGATTTGTTAATCACAAGTATGATTAAAGACTGGATTGGAAGACATGAAGTCCTGTTGAAAGATTTCTTAATTCAATCATTAATGTTTGCTAAATGAAGGCATCTTCATACATCAAGTAAACTCACCTCATAGCCAAGTGCTCCTATGTCATGTACACCAGCAAGATCAATTGTTGGCCGTCCAAGATCACTCTGCAAATCAAAACAAATCGTCAAAATCTTTTCAGACCAGATATAAGGGAAATAATTTACATCACATATGAAGAGTGGCACCTTCAAGTTTTGGAGCTACATTTTCTGATTTTCAAAATATGTGGGGAAAATAGTAGAATTCATCAACCCTTTAACTCCAATGATCTGATCTTTAATTCTCCCCTCTGGCTGTAACACATTTCCTTGTTAACTAGTTACAATAATTTGGTGTTAGATCATGATAACAAGTCTATTACCTAATAATTTTGAGTATTCTCATTATCAGTTTGCTTGACAATGCATGGATATTATAGGGAAAAGTTACATATTTATCACTTCTGGGAGTTAAAGGGTTGACAAATTTTGGTAACCAAGGTATTAAGGTAATAGCGGAGCTCGCAGAGCGTAGCCCCGTAATTATACAAAATAGTAGTAACCCATCAAGCTGAAAAAATTTGGATGTACGACCGTACGACCATACAAGGTGCTACTTTTAACATGCATGGTCAACTGTACCGCAGGCACGTCAATGCCACAGCTTTGTCCAGTAGTCCAGTGGTCAGTGCACTGGGCTCCGAGTCAGACAACCTGGGTTCTAGTCTTGGCCAGGGCAAGGCATTGTGCCCTTGAGACGTGCGGGGGAAAAAAATGCAAGCTCCACTTTTAGGCTTGGCTAAATCTATACATTACCTTGGTAACTGAAATCTGTACACTAATTGCATACCTTGCCTTCCTCATCATCTGAAAGATCAGTCATAAAGTTCAGATTTATGTTGTCTCCTAATCCAGTGCTTAGGGTGATTGTTCCACTACCATCGCTGACTCCTCGACCAAACTTTTCTTGATCTGTTGACTGTTTCTGGTTTTTATAAATGCAACAAAACTCAAATTAATTCAAACTTAACATACTGGTCAATAAATGTGATGAGCTGACATTCCCTATGACTATTACATGTAACAGTGGAATCCTAATTTTTCTAACCAATTATGGGAAAGAGAATTGACCTTCATTATAGAGAGCTTCAAAACTGGCTGTATAAAAAGGGTTAACATTTTTTGACAAAAGAAAAAAGGACTGAATATCGAAAGCCTTGAACTTACCCCAAGTGAATCCTTAACGCCACCAAGAGGAGCCTGCTTGAAAGGATCCATATGTCGTTCTGCACCTGAAAACCTTCCACTAGTTCGAAGCCCATTGCTAGAGCCTCCACCTAGTGGGTTTTTTCCCAGAGAACCTCCAAGGGAGGTCCCACCAAGAGAACCCCCTCCAAGAGAGCCCCCTCCAAGAGAGCCCCCTCCAAGAGAGCCCCCTCCAAGAGGGCCCCTACCTAAAGTGCTCCCACCAAGGGAACCTGTACTTGCTCCAAGGGAACCACCCAGTGAGCGTCCTGGAGATGAATCTCTCAATGGAGCCAAGGAACCTTCACCTTTCAGTGGTGCCAAACCAGGGCTAAGAGACTTAAAGAGGACATTGAACAAATCACTTTCCAGTGAAAATAATAATAAAATTCAAATTAGCTGCAAGATATCTTCAAATTGGAGAAAGGGTTCTTACATTTTCATTCTTTTCCTAAAAGCCTGCACAGTTAAGAAACAGGAGAATTAAAACAGGACCTTTTTACGTAAGGAAAGGCTTGGGAAAGATTCGTAATTGTACAGCCTGTATTTGCTGTCTAATGAATGAATGAATGAATCCCAGCAAAAGTTAATGACAATTCAAGTAAAAAAATTGCCTCTAAACTATTGAGGTTCATTGTTGGAGGGTCTGATGAATGAAAATACTTTGGGAAAAGTTCTAAGGTTTCTAGAATTAAATGACTTTGTCATGAAATATTATTTTACAAAACATTATTCTTAAGTTCTTTAGCCTCTGATTGCAGTTTTCTGCGTCAAAGTGTATTTGTGTGTCTACCACAATTTCAGCTTTTGTCATCTTTGATCATCAGACAAGTAGATAAATATATAATGATTAATATACTGCAGTTGATTTGTCAACTCCTTCTCGTAACTTTAACCCTTTAACTCCCATGAGTGACCAAGACAGAATTTCTCTTTACAACATCAATACAAAATCAACCAGTTAAGTGTTGAGAATAAAGAAAAATACCAATTTGGGGATAATTAGTTGATCCAATACTAAATTCTCTGAACTAACATCATAAGAATTGTACGGTTGACAGTAAGGAGAATTACAAATTTGATCTAGAAGTTAAAGGGTTAAGTGTCCAAGAAGAATTTAAGAATTACTAAATGCACAATTCATTAAATCCATGCTATATCAATCAATATTTTACCCTTTGTTTATTTAAAGATCCCTCTAGTGACTTAATCTTTTTGCCTCCATCTTTTTTATCCTTCTTCTTATTTTCTTTTTTTGCCGACGCACTCAAAGTGCTTCTTCTTCTCCTCTCCTCAGTAACCATGCTTCTATAGTATTCATCACATGGGTGATCCCAAACGCTGTCACCCGTGTGGAAATTAAAGTAGTAAATATCTCCACTGGCATCTTGACTGAAAAATAATTGTTCAAATAAGGAAAGGTTATTAACCTTTTCACTCCAAGAAGTGATTATAATAGAACTTCTTCCTGTAATATTCACACATTCTCCAGCAAACAGGTAATGAGAATACACAGACTTATCAGATAGAAGTTGTTATCTCAATCAAACAACCAATTCTCTACAAACAAATTCACAAGGAAATGTGTATTAACTAAGTGGAAGAATTAATAATCAGATCTTGGGAGTTGAGGGATTAATTAGAAGTGCTGTTACAGGTTGTTTCACTAACTTGTACATATTGACTTACTCACCCTGGCCTGAAGATCTCAAAATCAATTCTTGTCACAGCTACACATTGACATTTTTATATATTTAATCTTGTTTGTATGCACTGCATGCCATTCCTTTAGTGACGTTAAGGCCATGTGATTTATGAGACCTCATAAAATAAATGGTTGAGTTCTGGAAAACAGTCCTTATTTTTATGGTTGAAGCACTTTACATGACAATTCTACTATTTATCTCCTATACATCTGTTATAATTATGGCTCTGAGAATGAAGTGTTAAATTATAAAATATAATATTGATTTTCTTTCTTTCACCAACTCACAAAGCATACGCAAGTAATATACAAGCATGTTAACCCTTTTAACTCCCAGAAGTGATTGAGAGGCATCTTCCCCCTTTTATACCCATACACTTTCTAGAAAACAGGTAATGAGAACAATTAAACTTATCACATAGAAGTTGTTTTTTCTTGATCTAACACCAAACTTCTCGAACCAATTTAGAAGGAAATGTGTAGCAGCTAGTGGGGAGAATTAACAATCTGATCTTGGGAGTTAAAGGGTTAAACCATTGAATAAGGTGCATTTATTTTATCTCTCAGTTGGTACATGCACTAGATGATTGGTCAATTTAGCAGGCTGTATTTTATTACATGACACTCTACTATTCATGGCTGAATTGAAACTTTTCCTCTCAATTTGAACCCATACTGTAAGTTACAGAACCTCCCTTTTTCTGCTGCCATTTTGGACTCAGGCCATAAATCTGAGCAGAAAAAAATTGGTCCGTAACTTATAATACAGTCCTTGAACTCAGTTGGTAAGAGTTCCTTATTGTTTTTATAACTAAAATCTGGTCAAAGTGTTTATTACTAAACTTGGAAGTTTAATTCTTAGATTAAAGCTTTATTTTACTCACCAAGGTTTCCAATCAGTAGGTAGAGGAGCAACAATACCTTCCCTTGCAATAAACAGAAGATCTCTTTCGTTAATAGGATCTATACCTATTGATTGAGCATACTCAAATATCTCTGCAAAGGAAATTTGAAAAAAATTACAAATGCAGTGCTATTTGCCTCAGCGCTCAAACATAAAGATTATACCAAAACTCATAGATAAATTACAATATAAAAAGTACACTTTTTTAAGGTCTCAACAGCTAGGATTGCTTAAGACTTGTACTCTATGGACAGTTTTGGAACAGAATTGATAACTCCTTCGCACTAACAAGATTTCAAAGTTGATAAGTGTGTTAAACATGAAAAAGATGCTTAGTTAAACTTCATTCCTTGATATATGCTTGATCAAAAGAAACCAAAGATAAATTTGCTTAACAATAATAAGTCAGAGAAAAGTCTTGAGAAACGTTATTTTCCTAACCTGATTGTATATTTTGTGTTCGCCTGACCATACATTCGATCATTTAACTGCATTTACACGTTGTTTGTTGTTCATCTGACGTTGTAGCAGATTGTTATTTATATATTGTTTTGGGGAGAGGTAAATTTCTAAAATTATATAACCGCTTTAGTTAATCTTTTTTTTTTCTTTTTTTACAGCGTCGAACCAAAGAACTCTTATAACAGATTAACGTTTTCTACATCAGAGTGCATTTGTACGTCTACACGGTTGCCTACCTACATTTCATTTACTATCGGGCATCTTCGATCGCCAGACCAGTGGATTAAAATTGATGATGAAAAAGTTGAACCACCAATATCTCAATGTGACCTTCACCGTGTCCAACAAATTAGGAAAATATTCCGAGCTTTATTTCAATCACTAAAACCTTGCATGCACTTAGACGTAAACATGACAAAAACTGCACAGTTGAAATTTCATTTACCTTGTTCTGTCGGTTGATAGTTTTCATCATATTCCTCTTCCAGGATCAACTGACCGTTGATCATAGTTGCCATAATGGTGTAATTATTCTTAAAAATTATTTTCTACCGGTGGTTTTCGAATAAACTGATGCAAGTTAGTACGAGCAAGTTGAACGGTGATAGAGACGCCATTTGTTGTCAACGAACGACAGGCTAGGTAACCGAGCCTCTTTCTCTATGAGTAGGGCCTGGAAAGAGCATCTGTACATGTAGGATTTTTTAGGGATCACAAAGAGTACGTAGGTTGAATTGGTTGTCACCAAAAGATTATAATACGGGGGACAAAAGAAAGTTGACTTCCAAAGAGGGTGATCATAAGAATATTACAGAGTCTTATGGGGGGACCAGGTTCATTATGTTGTGACGCAACCAAAATCCCCGACCCTCGTCCCCCACAGGATAAATAATGACTGAATCTTGTATTCAGGTCCTATACCGTGTACCTGCGACTGCAATCTACCACCGCATGGCCTTCTGTGACCTATCACTAAACAGACCTACGGTAAAAAGGAATATATTTGCTTTGTATCATGTTCTGTGATAACGTAGCCTGCAGAACTGGCGGTGTTTTTTTTTTCCTTGCGTTTACATGCGAACGGAGGCAAGCCCAAGGCGAGCGCCTGAAAACGCAAAAATATCACTGCGGTTCTGCAGGCTAATTCATGAAAACGAAGCAAAATGTCGTTAATGTTGACGGAATCTATGAGTAGTCCTCCAATAGATGATAGGAAAGCCTGACCAATCAAAATGCGTGTTTAATTTAGCTTGTTGTATAAACTTTTACATTACAGTAGCAAGTACTGGCCATAGATGTTATTTCCAAGCGTTTTGCATATGCCTCTCTTTAGTCGCTGTTTTGCTTCCCAACGCCTGATCATAGTAAAATTAAATGTTCCTAACCTGTGTCGTGCTTTAGTTCTTAATATAGTTCTCTGTGATCACAATCCTTAGACTAAGAATATTTCTTTCTTTTCGGCAAAGTCCGTCGTGCGAGTGAAAAAAAAAAAAAAGAAAATGGGGAATTGCACTTGAATTCAACCTTTTTTTTTTCGCTGTCTTTTTTTTCTGTTTTTTTTTTGTCAACTGAAGAAAGGGGTACAGCTTGTGGTCTACACACTCCTAAATGGCCATTTTAAGCCCGTATTGATAATGATCTTACAAAACAAAGCATTATGTTTCAAAATGCGATCAATCGCTAGGATATGTCTAAATGACGCAAACATGCAGCCAGTATATATTTTGCCGCGTTTGTCTCGAGTTATTGCACTGCATCTGAAACAAGTTAAATTTAAAAAATCAACGTTTTCGATTTTATAAGCGATCGTTAAACTCGTCCTTTTTTACACCTGGTTAATGTGGGCGTAAAAAAGCACGTGTGGAGTATTCCATGCCAGGGTGAAGTTTATGAGCCGAGGGTACAATACAGGTTCTTTTTAGAATGTATATCAGACCAAACACGCAGCAATCGCATTTTCATTCACTCATTTTCGGTTAAATCTACCTGAAGAACGAGTGACTTTAAAGTCGAAATACCGCAAGATCGGTACTGTGATGTTATTCATAATCGAGAGAGGTGCAGATGCACGCTTCAATAATTTTGGAATCCGTGCAAATAACTGCCATAGTGTTTCATTGTAGACAAGCCTTATACATATACAGAAGACGTCCATATTACCCTCTGTGTAATCAAACGACAATTCTTCATTCCACAGATCATAAATTAGACTTTGTTGCGGGAGATGTTGCAAAGTTCGTTTCGCTAAGAAGGTATGTAGGTAGTACTACATTCGGCATCCAAAATATAGAGACCTTTGTTAACAAGTAGTTTCGCTTCGTTCTATCATGCTCGGAATTAAATTGACGAAAAAATACCGCGTTGGACTCGAAAACTTTTGAAACGCCCGGTGGCTCAGTATAAAAAAATTAACAAGACAACAACAGAAAGGAAACAAAGCAATTTAACAGGTAAATCTTTTACCTCTTTTGATACTTTTGCTGTTTCAAAGCAACACTGTGAAATATTTACTGTCGCCATGCGTGCGACTCTGATTCATGGGGACAAAGGTTTCGGCGAATTTTGAGGCACTGTTTTTGTCGCCACCGGTTATGGAAGTGGTATCATTTACTCCAATGAAGTGGATTCCCCAAATTCTTGGCTTAATTACTGGTTTCAGTTATAAAGAAAGTATATTGCCAAGATACGAGCGCTTTATATGTGAGAACTGTCACAATTTCTTTTATTGAAAGCCTTAGAGAAGTTTATTAGATAACTCCGACTTCACTGAGAAATTGAAATTCCATTTTCCATTCATCTCTCTTCACAAAACTGGCAAATAGAACGGAGTAATATGTTGGCGAGGTGGGTGAATTCTGCTTTCGATTGGCTAATGTTGTTTCAATGTTCCTAGTCAACCACATGGCAAAAAAATCTCAACGATTTAAATTGCTCTGAATATTTTAAACAAAACAAATGAATAGAAGGTTCCAGTAAATTGGCTTGAAGAGCTAGTGTTCATCGTTAAGAAAGTGTGATTTTCTTCAGACGACTGTTTATTCACTTTTAATTCCCGTCAGAAACACTAATTTCATCTGAAAAGCGGCAAATGCGCTTTATGTATTTACTTAAGTTTGAGAGCTCTGCAACTACGTAATAAAACTCATATGTATCTTAAAAAAGAACCAAGAGTTAGCTATGGATGACAAACAAAGATTTTCTCAGGACGCGAGAGTTTTACCATTTCACAGATCATAACTTGTGTTGATCTTCTGTCATGTTCGAAAGCTTTTGGGAACGATATTTTCATAGTGACTGTATTACTTTATATGAAAGCAAACATCCGGCGTTTTTCAAAGCAATATTTGTATTTCCAGTTCAATTGTTCATTGATTGAGTCACTAAACTTTGACAAAGGTTTTCACTGTCACAACCATTGAAATCCGTGAGTTTTACCAGCAAGTGCGAACGTTTCCATATTAAGCAGCACTGTGTGCTTAAAATTATTTCAAAACTTCGAGCGATGAAAGAGGGTTAAGTGTCGTGCTGTTTCATCGCATGATCAATTTATCCAAGGTGCAAAAACGTTTTGAATGATGTAACAATGTTTTAATTACAGAAAGCTACGGTTTATTGACAAAAAAGGTAATTTTTTCAGTCAGCACTGAAAGGATCTCAGTCAACAAGGCTGATTGTTGAAAATGGCGGCATTAGCTCTGCCGAACATCAGCTAGACGCGAATGTGATTAGCAAGACAACAATCTAATGACGCCGGTGGCCCGCACATTTCGCCTAATAAGTTTAAACACAAATTTAAGTATCGTGCATTGTTAAATCAATGGCTCGGAGATGAGTTTAGGCTCCATAGATTTCGTCGAAATAAAGCCACAAAGTTTATTGAAGTCGACATCAACTTTCCAGTTCGTGTTCTTCGTCTCCGGTTATTTTGTAAGTGGCATAATAAAAGCTTAAACTCGGGGGGGAAATAACGGAACCTTATGAATATAATTCACTCTCAAACAAAGGACGAAAAGAAGATTTGCGGTAGGAAAGTTGTTCACAATAGTCTTATCGTTCATACACGTGTTTAGCTTAGAGACAAATCGACTCTAAATCTTTGGCAATTCATTCCTAAAGCGCTGGGAATTACTCTGAAATATCGACGCAAAAATTATATCATCGACGTGCGCAAAGCCAAAGTGGGAAAAAACGATGCCCTTCTGAAAGAACTTCTGATCCGTCTCTCAGTAGCATGGATTTGATTAACGTTTGTGTACAAAACAACAATTTACTCTCTTGACTGAAATTGGACAAAGTCATCGAATTTTTCTTAACGTACACTAACCGACCGCAGACAAAGTTCAAGAACGCAGTTTAAATTGCAAATTTTTTTCCACGTTCAGTTTTCTATTAAATTTTGCATGAAAAAAGCGAGCGAGATTTTTTCGCGGGCGTCTTTAAAATCCATGGTTTCTTGCTAAGATACAAAGCCTGCTTGGGAACGATGCAGCGATCAAAAACCAAACATTAGGCACATAGAATTACCGTGGTCTTTTAAGCGGGGAAACACAATAATAAACGAACAAGACAGTTTTTGATGCGTTTGTGATATACGGTATCTGAGCATAACTCCTGATGCAATTGTTGAAACTCTGTATCTGATCTGAGAAATGATGCTTTTCTTTTCATATAGACGGGTAGATCACTCAATTGTCTCACAGCAAACTTTAATTTTGTCAGCACATGGCCATTATCTATTCACTTGCCTGGGGGGAGAAATTCTGCCAAAACATGCATGCGCAGAATTTTGAAGATGGACGAAAACACAATACACCTTGCCATCAATATGAATGAAAGGGGAAACCTGGGCGAAATTAAACATACATTACGGAGAATAAGTAAAGTAAAGGTCACCATCTTTCCACAAACGTAATAATCAAAAATGGTTTGTTTTTTTTTTTGCGCGTAACCTAAGAGGAAACATCGCGAAAGATAATAAATTAGAAAGTCGCATTCTATGTATAGCTTGTAAGGGAGTTTTGTATTTCGCTTGCAAGTGAGTCGGAAAGTGACCAAAGAGGCTGAATCGGGTGCATTGGGTAACAAATAAATGTGCATGCGTAAACAGAGGAATATCTTTAGCTGGGTTCAAGGTCTTAGTAAATATCCATGGATATTTAAACTTCAAGAGTGGCATGTACTACTGAAAGCAAAATTAACAACCTATTGTGTGCTGCGGTCGCCTCAAAGGTGGACTCCTCCAATATGCTTTTACTTCTCCAAGAAAACTTAAACTGTCAATCAAAGTAATAAATACACGATGAGAACTCTAGATTTTATTGTTTTACTTGAATCACAAAAGAGGGGCACAAAACAAGGCCCTAAAAATAACAACTCCTGTTTTCCATTAAGCAGTGAGTTGAACAGTGTTCGGCGGGTAACTTGCTGCAGGGATATCTGAGGATTTGGTGGCAAGACTTTTTCGTCATCACAGAAAGTTGGAAATTCTGAAAGGTAAGGAGGTCTTTCAATAGCAACTTGCCACCAAAAGATTTGTAACTTAGGGAAACCGCGAACATTTTGCCTCCCATCTACACACGTCCTCTCGTTGCATGGGAATATCAAAGAAGGCATATTTCTGTTGGCTTCCATAGAATTTTGCCAGCGAACGATCCGTGTTTTAACTTTCTATTCCTAAGAATCCATCCTTTGCTGGGCTACGGGTTTGTTTTGCAGTCTAGTTAATCAATCGTTTTGGTTTAGGGTGAACTCCCCAATGTGCTAGCTTCATCTATGACTGCGGCGCGCAACTTTCTGGGCAAAAGTCTGTGGTCAAGTGGACGTTTTCCATCTTCGTCATGCCGCCGCGAAGGAAAGTCTACCTGTCCATCCTAAAACTGTATCTCGGACTTCTGAGCGTGCGATTTAGGGCTGGTTTTCTAGTGATCTGGAAATTATTTTAACCTTTAAGACCATCGATTAATAGCCCTTGCTTTGCTTCGTCACTGCTTCACAGTACTGCACTGCCTAGTCATCTGATTATGCCCAGAATACCGAAATCAATTTCAACAATTTCCATGTATTGTGTAGCCTGCAATCTTCAGAAATAATCTAGGGGTAGACTTGAAATGAGCAAAGCTCTCATTCGGAACGTTTTCAAATCGGTAGTACAACAGATACACTACATTCTTTCTCAATGTTCACGAATATTTTTCAAATGAAAATTTCCGCTTTTGGAACGGATTCACAGAACTTGAATATTTAGAATAGGTCACATCAAGTCTTGATTTTATTTTCTGTTAAACTCCTGCCTTAGATTAAAATCAGTACAGAAATTTGTTACTTAACTCATCCATTAGCAGTAAAATTTATGTTCATGGGAAGGTAAATGAAACGTTCATTATATGTCTACAACTGAGAATTCACAGGGAAGGAACAATAATTTGATGTAGTTTTAATTGAAGTTCTTTCCTTCAATGGACTGGAGGCTGTGTTGAAGGAAAATCAAATAATATTGAATCTACTCCATAAGCGTCTTCTTACCTGTTTTTGTTACGTTTATCGTATATAAATAATAAATAATTCTGGAATCACTTGACACGCGGAATCCGTCGGGGTTTTTGATCGCAGGACTTAACAAGGATAGATTATTGAAAGCTCAGATTTATTATAATCTGCCTGTTTGTTTAGTTTTTCACTAAACGCACCATTTATACCCTCAGAAAGAATTTTTCCTGACACGTAGAAAGGTTTCAATATTTGCCACTTTTTGGTGAAAAAATGCTTGTGGGGGAAACTCTCGCAGATAAGGAACCAGTCCTGATGAATATCACACGAACTTGGTCGACTGAAAATAAGGTTTAAGTTTCCCCCTTCAATTTACATTCGTCATCGAACTTAGCGACTCTACGATCGAAATTTAAATAGCTGCATGATAGTGGAGGAAAACATTGGTTCTAGGTGCCTTTTATCGCTTGTAGCAAACTTCGCGCAAAGTAGGAAAAATAATAGGACCAATTGTTCTCGTAACCCGCGATATGCCTCGGCGTCTTTTTTTGTGAGACGCGTTCGCGGTTTTTTAATGCTCGCAACAGCATGAAGTTAACGAGTTGGTAAATGATTTTTCACACTTTGTTACATGTTTATTGCCGAGTACAAAAGGAAAATGTGTGCAAAACTGGCCTATTGATATATTTGCTTTTGCAGGAGATCGTTTCATCGCTTTTAAATCGACGTTCATATTGCTTTCGGAATAATAACGATCGAAGATTAGGGTTTAAGGCGAAGTGTCAACTCATTGCAGCCATAAAATTTCATTTCACACTGATGTTACGGTTTCGCTATGAACCGATTGAACGTTCTATCCCTTCTGAGATCAAAGATTCTATCGCTTGTTTCGCGATCATTCGCTGATCAACACGTGCGTTCCAGCTGACTCATACACGATTGCTTAGATACTACTTACTGACTTGTTAACATACAATAGGTAATACAAGCTTGGTGGTACAGAATGAAACAAATTATTCCATGCTCAATATTGATATGCAAATAAAACGGGCTCTACGCTGAACTGGCTGTGATTGGTGGGAATGTTTTCACTAAGGAGTTGGAGAAAAAAACACCACTGTAGTGAGTTTTCCTCCTATTTACGTTCAGTTTGTTGAACTTACAAACAGTAACGAACTTGTTTGGCTTCCAGCAGTGTAACGAACGTTAACCGTTTCATCATGTTCTTGTTATTTTTAATGTTAACTCCTGCCGCTAACAAAAGAGTCCTTCGTCTTCTCGTAAACAAGTCGCCGAGGGGGCGCCAGCGACACCTTATCCTGTCGGTCCCAATCTCTCGCCGTCCAAGTCATATTGTCGTCTTGAAACTCGGGCAAAGCGCTGCCTTTCTGGTTTCATTAAAAGCTTTGTCACACTTTTGTTTTGTTCTTCTTTCTTTCTTCATTTTCAAAATGGGATAAGTAGAGATTTTTATCAAAAGATGCGCCTCTGTGTCGCGCCATACCCAGTCAGAATTTCTAACAGCGTGTTGTTCAGTGCTGTAAGCACGCGCGTGTAATCTTACAGCAAGCGTGCTTTCCACAGACGAGAAGACGTTTAGCTAATGGCGAACACCTGTGCCTGACCCTTTTACACCATACAAAGAAAGACAAAGAAATTTGCTTAACCAGCTGTTGAATGCAGAGTTGAAAAACTCAACGGTCATTAAACGGAAATTAAGTTAAGAGTAAACGAAATTCCCTGGTTATAAAAACAACGAAAACGGCGCAGAGCTTATGCTAGGACAAAGCAAAAATGTCATTTTTAGTTTGCTTCCGACACATCTAAGTCGCTTAATGCAATTCCACTTCAAGAAGCAGATCATGTCTTCGAGTTTATAACAATACTCGTTTAGGCACGTGGCGAGTGTCTGAGTTAATTGTTTGCGCGTGCCGCGGTGTACAGTTGTGTATCTTACAGCCACAGAGCAATTAGGTGAATGACAATTGACAATGGTCTCTGACACACGCGCCATAAGCAAACCACGCTAGGCCTAAAACAATGCAACGTATTGTCTCTGAAGCTTGTAACCAAGACACGGTCGCAGTTCTCTAGTCCCAATGTCACACATTGGGTGTTTTTGATAGTTACTCTCTGGTGTAGTGGTTCGTTGGGACCTGGTCGATCCATGGGCGGTGTACAAAAACTACAAAACTAGAGTTAACAACGACGGCGTATAAACAAAAACTTGGATTCAAAACCAGCGCCCGCACCAGTAGCTAATCAGAGCAGCATCTGCAGAGACAGATCTCAAAACCAAAGTTCTAACAATCTTGATTATCTCACAGACGTTGGAAAAGGGAGCTCAAAGTGGAATCACGGTCGGAACAATGCCACGGGGATCAGGTGAGTTGAAATGGTTCAGATTATTTGTCTTTATTTTTCCCACTAGCACGTAGCTATGTAATTAGTACTCTCTGAGCGACGCAAGCTGCAATTATCGCCGGGATGGAATACATCACAGCCCTGTTAACATGGATGTGCCTAAGGCACGCAAGTGCAACCAGATTTGCTCTTTAGGTGATTAAGATGCGTGTTTCTATGCGGTTTCTATGACTCACAGGGAAAATTATTAACTACCTAAGCAGCATAACCCTACAGATTGATGTTGTACACAGTATATCACGCGAGGAGCACACCCTCTCGAACTCTATGACACCACACATTTCACTTTTTCATTTGAGTGTTAGATCGACTTTCGCTTTGGCTGGCGATAATTTCTTTGAGAAACTGGAAATTAGCAAACTTACATTGCGTGTATTTTGATGATAGGCGCACAAATATGCACTCGAGAGTGTAAATACACTCATATCCGGTAAAATGAAGTCTGGAAACGTTTAAACCATTCACTCTTTTGACTGCAAATGCGAAGTTTTGTCGAGAATTTTCCAAGTTACTCTTTTTTTTTAAGTTTATTAACAAATTACTCAAAAGGCAATTACTTAGCTAGTGTCAACTTTATCGAAGAATTCAGCAGAAAATATCTAACAATACCAGACGGAATGTTAACTGATTTTAAGAACGAATTTCCATTTGCCGTCTGTGGCAAACTTTGTCAACTTTTAAACACTTAACTGTGGGAGTTTAACGCGGAATACTTCACAGAATTAACATTTTAAGTTTACTTTTCCCTTACTGCTGGTATTTAGTGTTGATTCGACAACCAGTTACTTATAAAACACGACCAAAAGATCAAACAAACTCGCTCTGTTTAGAATCGCTCTTGGATGAAAATGTAAATCACGATCTCGTTTGTAAAGAATAGCGCGTGCCACTAATTAGTGCTCAATTTCTGATTGGCGGGCAGCCAAGCGAAACCGCGAAGACAATGGTTATTATAAAATTACCTTCGGTCCTCCTTTGTTCCTAGAAGAAAGAGGCATGTGGCCCGGATCCTCTTAACCGATACAAATCACTGTCTCGAAAATCATAAATCAATCTAAAGCGCGATGCGGTTCATTTGCAACTTTATGTAAAAAATGCGCACGTAATGGATATGAAATTAATATGTCATCAAAATTTCCTTGAAAGAATGGCAGTAGTACCTGCAACATTGAATAAAGGGGTAAGTTTCTAAAGAAACTGTGGTGCTGCGTCGGTGGGAGAGTATAGCAGGTAATTTAGTGTTAACAACTGGGTTGAAAACGTAAATTAGCCACCGTTAAGGGTAAAAAAGCTGACGTTTCGAGCGTTAGCCCTTCGTCAGAGCGGTTGGTCTGTCAGAGCAATCGCTCGAAACGTCAGCTTTTTTACCCTTTACGGTGGCTAATTTACGTTTTCAACCCAGTTGTTAACACTAAATTACCTGCAACACTGAGCTTTACACAACCGAGAAAAAGTCAGCGACGCCACAATTTTAGAGATAATTATTTAAAATATATAAAATTATGATTTTTTAATCATTTTTTGATAAAATTTGGTATGTCTGATCTTACAACACACGTTTTAAATCGTATCTACTATCGATCTCAAATAATGAAAAGAAACTTACATTAAAAAACAAATACGATCCGTGAAATGAACTGCGATCTACCGTCATTTCTCTTCGGCTCTTCTTTCTTCGAAAATTATGTAACTGGGCATTCGACCATGAGAAAGTTAAATATCAAAAACAAATTTTGGCGGTAAATGAAACCGATATTAAATCCTTAAACTTTTGGGATGCCCTCAAGGATGTTTACGTTCGATTAATTGAAGTTGATTAAATTTATTTATAAGCAATTTAAGAACGAACGTTTTAACGAAGAAACGCTACTGAAAAAGTTTACAGGATAATTTGGTATTATTAATTGAGTTTATAACGTAAATTGGCCACCGTAAAGAGTTTAAAACCTGACGTTTCAAGCGTTAGCCCTTCATCAAAGCGAAAGCTTAGTCAGCTTTGAAACTCTTAACGGTTGCCAATTTACGTTGATACTACCAAATTACCCTACTATACTCTACTAGCGACGCAGCACCACAGTTTCTTTAGAAACTTACCCCATTTATGAAAAAGTTTACAATTTTTTAACGACGAAAAATCCTTAGAAGACAACAGAAGCCACACAAAAATAACTAAGAAGCAAAGCAAGAGAAAACATACAGAGTCGGATACTTTTCACTCAAAAAATAAACCGTTGAAATGCAATTCAGGCTTTCTTTTCTTAGGCACGTTTTCTAATTGGTCACCCGTTGGTATGGAACTGAACGTAAAAATGACGGTTTTATTTTATCATTCCAGCAGGTTATTCACGGTATTACTGAGAGGATATTTACATGATAACACAATTAGCAACAATAACGAACAAAACTTTCCTTTGAAAACTCACAATGAATACGGAATTATTGTTTAAAACAGCTTACACCTTAGATAGATTGAAGACTCGATGCGAATCATCTAAGACGCGAGAGAATAAAGAATTTAGTGCGTTCTCTAAGTCTAGAAATCTAGAGCGTTTTAAACAGCAGAAGGGATTGCTTCGCTTTTTTCTCTAGTGTTTTAACGTCTGTTTTCAAGAATTTTGTGGTAGTTTCCAGGCATCTACAGGTCCTACTGTTTCCACCTGGTTTTTATTTAACACTTAGTGCATTCTTTGCAGGTCAACAAACAATTTACTCCAACAGCCATTACGTGTCGCATAGCAAACTTCAATCGCCGTTGACAATTCAGTGGTATGTACATAACATGTCAATGTTATTTTTATCAATGTTATTTTTACAAATACCGCCTCAAGGAATCATTAGTCGAGTAAGATAATTGTGGTCAGTTAAATAGGAGAAAAATCTGGTGAACTTGAAAATTAGACATTATTTCAATTGAGCGAAACACCAAAGGATTTAATGCAAAGCCTGTTAATTGTCTGCCACTTAGAGAATAAATAATTTTCAAACTTTTGAAAAGAGAGTAAATATAGCAACATTTTACACACGATATATTTAGAATTTCTATAAACAAAGCCACCATCCTTTCAGAAGAGAAAAAAAACTTATAGCCATCGAGAGGCCGTATAGAGCTATGCTCTTTTTCAGTAATGCTTTATGCTTCAGTAATAATGATAATAAGATGAGTAAAATAGCTTCTAATTTTTATGACACTAGGACACGAGTTTAAGACAACTAAATGTTTTAACATTTCAGCCTTCTTATTAGTTCGCAAGTATTGCCAGTTTGGTTGGTTCACATGAAACTTACCGCTTTTTTCTTGGTCACTTTTAGTCTGCGTGCGGTTATTTATTCAAGTAATTTTATTTGGGTGCATATACCGCAAGCTTGTATCAATGTTACGTTCTGTTTAACTCTACAGGCTTAATGAAAATTACGAAGTTTCTGAAGGAGTCAGTTTGCCTCGAAGTGCTTTGTATTCTCATTATTTGGACTTCTGTGAAAAGAATAACTTAGCTCCAGTCAATGCAGCTAGTTTCGGAAAGGTGAGAAATGTTTTTTTTTTTTTCAGTTAAATAAACATCTCCCGCAGATAAAAGCCTACTACAGATTTCGTGACAAAGCAGGGAATAAACTCCTTGACAACAATGGAGAGAACAAAATTGTTTCGTTTGTCTGTCTGAGTTAAGTCGCTGATGTAAACCAGGCTGATAAAAAATATAAACGCGCATGAAGTAGGTAGATAATATTCCTTTCCTATTTATAGATTATTCGCCATACCTTTCCGAATTTAAAGACCAGAAGGCTTGGAACACGTGGTCAGTCCAAGTAAGTAAATTATCGTGGTGATGTTAAATATGAAAATTATAAACCCACCTAGGGGGTCGATAGCAAGTCATCAACCGATTGTGAAATACGTAGGGCTGTGTGTACTTAATGTCGAAAGAAAGTTTAATTAAAAGAAAAAGTTTTATCTTGCGTTTTTTTTATCTTTATCTTGCGTTTTTTTTTTCCTTGCGTTAAAAGAAAAAACATCAGTATATTACATAAGCTAAACAAAGCAACTTGAAGAAAGATAACAAACAAGAAACAAACTGGCAAAAAGAAAGTTGCGGTTAACCAGCAACACGTATTCATGTCTTTCGGTTTTTTTGCTTGAGTTACTGATTCATTTTACAGGGAGCAAGTAATCTTCTTAGGACTTTTTAACAAACACGTGGCTACACAATTGAGTCCGTTAACTTGTTCAGACCATTGTACGTATCTGAATAGCTCGTTAGCATTCCAATAAACAATTGACATAGATAATGAATCATTTAAGAAAAAAAAAACGCTACTCTGCTTTTGTTTGAAAAGCTATCGATGTTTTGGTTGTTTGTAAAAAGAAACATAGGCCGATGATTGACTTCCTAACTAGAACCCGGAGAGAATCGGTGATTGGCAGTTTCCGGAAGAAAAGCTTTTACTGAACGATTTCAAATTAACTAATACGTCTGTTTAAAAACTGGTTGCTTAGGCTTCCAGCATAAAACATTCTGCCCTAAAGACAAATCGAGGCGTGGGCGTCACTACCTTACCTTGAATGTTTCCGGCGTTAGAACTCGTGGGGGATTTTTTTTTCGCATAAAACTATTGATAATTTGAAGTAGCTATTCTGTAGCCATGGATCGTTGTTTAGCTTGCCTGACAAAAGTGTCAAGGAGAGGAAAAGAATTCTTCTGCTCTCCAGAGAAAACAAAACATCCCTTAGGCGTTCGTAAGGAGCACATGTGATCAAGTGAATCTAGAATTTTCCCATGACATTTCACTATTATTGTTAGAGAAAATTGTCTTTTTGTTCTTTTGAATTACGCTGGCCAACTTTATTCCCAGCTAAAGGTGTTGATGAAATATTTTCCCTTTAGCCGAGGAGTTCATTGCAATTTTTTTTGTTAATGCATAGCAACAAAAAATTCGAAAAAAAAAAAGTGAACACAATAAAAGAATCATTGTCAGAAAACGTTCCCTTAAGAGACAGAAACCAAATGTATATTATAATGAAGAACACACAACCGCTCAGTTATCATATGCTGTGAGTGACGTCATCTAGGCTCGAAATGTCAGCTTTTTAACTCTTTGCGGTGGCCAGTTTACGTTTTCAACTCAGTTGTTAACACTAAATTACTTGTTATTCTCCTCACTTGTCTCCTTGATATTGCATTGACACTGTAAGGAGAAATTCTCTCTTGGTCACACATGGGAGTGAAAGGGTTAAATGTCTCTCGACGATTGTAACAAATTTGGTGCATCTACGACCATATTTAATTTCTACTGGAAAATATACAACAACTGATTGTCAATTTTAACTCACGTGGCACCTACAAACACGCAGAATCATGGATTTTGCTATACTCTCCCACCGACGCAGCATCACAGTTTCTTTAGAAACCTACCCCCTTTTATCACATGAAAAGTCATCGCACAGATGGAATGTATTTTTTTTTTGCAAGGAATACATTCCTATTTTTATCTTTCCATGTTGAAAATTTAGGTTGATTTTTATTGTTTCATACAATTCTTTATTTTCAAGCATTTCCCACAAAACAATCTAATCATCAAGTAGATTGCGTTGCCTTGCTTCTGTCCAGAAATAGATCACAGATGACATCAAAATGTGGTAAGAGAAAAAAAGTGGCACACGAGGCGCTGCCAAGTGCGTCACTGATATTCTTTCCGCATTTTGCCTTCCTCTGTGATCTTTTACTGGACAGACGCACGGCAACATGGAATATATTTGTTTTATATGATAAAGAAGATAAATGTTGTTAATGACGTCATTTATGCGTCTATCCTCCTGTAGATCATAGATAAGAACCCATCAAAATGCAAGTAGGATTCAGCTTATCATATGATAACCAATGAAAACTCGTTCGCTTATTGCCAGGTATCACTATTATGGAATCACCATCAAATCAACCTCTCCTTATCATGACACCGTCTGCAATGCAGCGAGGCAAAGCAACACCGGGTAAGACAAGTCCCTGGTAAATTAGACAGTTCAAAACTGAAGAAACCATTAAAGTCAGGAGCCGTATGGGCTCCTGTTGAAGTATGATACTACCAACGTCCTCTTACAAATCCTGCTATCTGATTGGCTACACTACTCGCTATCTATTCCATGGTAGATAATGAGTAAAGTGAGTTGCCTGACACTTCATGTTTACTGTGAGAATAGTGATTTTTTAATGGCCTGGGAGGGGGTTGAAAGATTTTTATTTCGGAAGGGGAGATCACATTGTTTTCCAGGATGGCGGAGGGAGGATCAGTCGACGCTAACAGAATGCAAGGGGGGGGGGGGGGGGGGGGGGCTATAGAAAGCTGACTGCCAATGAGGTGAGATCATTGGAATACTTCAAAGCCTTGAGGGGGGTTAGGTAAATTTTATTGTGACACAACCAAAATCTTTCGCCCCACCCTCCCCTCCCTTTCCAGGCGATAAAAGATGACCAGAAATCCCCGGAAATCTTTCGGTTGGAATCTGATCAGTCTTACAAACTCATCCATAACTTTTATCGGTCAAATCAGTGATCACTACGCATAAATCCTAAAATTTGATTTTTTTTTCAGTTTTAGCCAATCATACAGCAAAACGGACATAGATGAGAAAACTCAGGGCCATACAGTCCATAAGAGTAATCATGGGACAAATTCGTGTGTCACCACAGCGCCCGGAGGGACTTTATTACCTGACTTCCCAAAGCCCAGCAAACTGACCTTACCGGAGGACGTGTCCCAAGAAAAAGTGAGAGAATGTGTTGGATTAATATTATTAAGGATACCAATATCAATAAAGTTTTCTACGCTATGGTCAGATTTTCTCAGATTGATATTAAGAAATTTAAGGGAAGAGTCATTACTTATCGTTAGGGGGTGGGGGGAATCGCCAAATGATGATCAGTCTCGATATCTAATTAGCCTCTGATACTTTGGCCTCTGACACTGTTTTTACTCAGTACGTTTTCGAAGGCTGAAAATTTACTTAGAGGAAACGTTTTTTTCACAGGTCAAAACGTTTCTTATCATGTACCGTGCACACTGCCAAAGAATTCTAGACACCATCCTGAGAGCAAACTTTGGAGAGGTAAGTTTCTCAATAACCAAAAGGAGTGTTCAATTGTTTGAGGACTTGTTTACATTTGTATATTATTTGTTTATTTGTTTATCTATTTGTATCTTTATTTATTTTTGATTACCGCACCGCTTCACTGAGCCAAAAACGTTTTTAAGTTGTGGGCAGGAGAATTCCTCTCTAATAATAACTTTCCATTTGAAATCTTAGGTACAGAATTTCTTAGTTCACTTTTGGCAAGGAATGCCCAGTCATATGCTGGAAGTCCTCAGTTGCAGCGAAGTTGTAGACCTAATTGGTCAGTGTGACACCATCCTATACAAAGCCATCAGCGGAGTATTAATTCCCGGAACTCTTCAGCCTTTACCAGCAAGGTGAGATCGTTTGTCAATGTGCAAAATAAATAATTAAATAAATAAATGATAGAAATTTCAAAACCAACTGGAGCCGAAACCCTTGCACTTGTTGCTTGCTTCCGAATTCTCCCTTTTTTTCTCCTCTATCTCATTTCTCTTGTTGCTTGCTTTCGATTTCTCTCCTTAACGTCACAAATGTAAATCTCTCATCTTAAAGGCCTCAACTTTCGCTTGCTTTTTTTGTCAGACATGACCTTGTTGCGAGCTTTTACTTTTTAGACAGTTTATTATTATTATAAAAAAAAATGGTGCTTCTTTTATCAAGACGTAGTTTCATTTTGATACTAAGATAGTTATTAAGTAAATATAATTATCTGATTGCAGTTTGACTCAAGCAATCCGTCAGTTTGCGCAACAGCTGGACGAGTGGTTGACTGAATCGCTGACTCATTTGCCGGAACCATTACAGAAGAAAAAGTTGGCAGGTGAGAAAGTGTGCAATGTGTGCTAATTTTAAAAAAAAGTTCTCTACGAATGTGATGTCAGTATCGTGTTGTAAATAGAACACCATAGTCATTTTCTTTGTTACTTTTCAGTTGCTAAGAGTTTCTCCCACTCACTGCGAAGGCAGACGTCTTTAACACATCTTGCACAGGTAGGGAAAAACCAAAGTTGTCAATGTTTTACAATAAGTACTTCGCATTGGATGACAGTCGGATGAGATCCGTTTTCCTGGGAAACGGTTGTGCGTGTCATATGTTGTAACCCCTTCAACCGGGCAAAAACATAATATGATCAAATATGTATTATTCTTTGATCAAATCGCTATTTTTCCTTCTCAGTTTACCTTCTAAATAAATCGTAAATTTTCTTTAAGGATTCATGACAGCTAAAAAATCCAGAAAAAAGAAGACAACAGAAACATTGACAAAACAAGCTAAAAAAATTAACGAATTTTAGACTGAAAATAAATGTAACTAACTGTTTCATATGACCTGATCGTCTAAATCATATTATTAGGCTAGCTTTCGTTGCTTGTTTTTGAAAAGTGTCTTCATCGTTAATTCCCAGGCTGCCCGGACAGTATTGCATAGCGCAGAGCCTGTATCCCAGATGCTTAACGATTGGAAGCAAATCGACTTCGAAGGAATTACCCGTCAGGCCATGTGGACTTTCAGCGAATCCGTAGACGACGATTATGAACTTGTTTACGAACGTAAGTGCGCAAAACTGGTTTTAATTGTTTTCCTTTCGTTTTAAATCTGACGCAGTAAGTTTAGTCTTATTAACGAGATTTTTACTGGTTTACTCAAATTTGCAGACTATAAAGAGTTTACACAGCTTCTCGATCAGCAAGCAACCATAGATCAGTACGCCGAATGGGCGTCCAGTTTGGTCAACCGTTGTGTTTTGAAGGTGAGTACAGTGGGCGTGCCTTTGTCAGGTCCTCTCAGTCTAGTGCACAAGAAGTAATATTCCCTTTGAGAGTTGATTGTTTAGATACAAGGAATGGCTTGTTTATCGAAACGCTATAATGATGAAAAGCAAAGGGGTTTTTCAAAATATTTTTTTGGCTCTGGATTCGAAAGCCCCCTGGCCGCGTCAATGTGTTGAGTGCTAGGGTGGGTAAATTGAGTCCTACTGCCTCTATTCACCCAGGGTTATAAACAGGTACCAGCAAAAAGTAGGAGAAAATTGATACACGTTGAGGAGTAAGTCTGCTTTGGACTGTAATTCCTTTCAAATGCAGAAAAAATAATCCCATCACTTTAAGCATTGAATTCCCCATCACTTTAGACTTCATCAGGTGAGGTCGCTGGTTTTTTAAATCTACTTTCTACCTTTTAAATATATCAGTGAATGGAAGTAACCGTAGAATACCCCTATTTTGGTTGCGCCACAAACAAATTTATCTGATCATGAGGCTCTGTAATGTTCCTATGTTCTTGCATCATTAGCAGCTAATAAGCAGTTTATTTTTATAGTTTCCCCTCAAAATCAAGTGACCCCTCCCCCCCAAAGAACAATCCTTTGCCCCCCACTCCTTGGCGGTTAATGATGGCTAGTCGCCAGACCCTTGCAAACCTATACTGAGTTATATCTAAACTTTCCCTCAAGTTTCGAATTCTCTCTCTTTTCTTTTAGCAAGTGGAGAAGACTGGAAAAACTTACAAGGAGTGCTCAAAAGATTTTCTTCTCAAATGGTCCTTTTTCAGCATTAAAATTGTGCGGGAATTAACATTGCACAGCGCTCACAGCTTCGGTAAGTCTTTCTCCAAGCGCAACTAAAACTCTGTCATGCTCTTTTTAGACCCTAACATTTTTTTCTTGCATATAATTTTTAAATCCTTGGGTACCATCGTTTTAACTGATCCGTTGTCGATTTATCGCAGGTTCATTTCACCTACTACACATGCTCCTCGAAGATTATATCCTTTACACGGTTGAAAACCACAACAATGTGGATGAACCGTCGGCCCAGTCCTCTGTTCGCGTTACCAAGGAGACCAACGTTCTGGAGGGTTAGTGTTACAATAGCTTACACTGAAGGAATTAGTTACTTCTTTAATTCAAGATTAGCTTTGTAAAGGCTTGCGTATCTTCAAAAATGTTGCGCAATTTGTTTCCAGTCTTTCATAATCTTCTCCACCCTTGACCATTTCTGCCCCAATTTCCGTACATTCCTTCCCTTTATCCATTCTCTCCCTTCCCATTTTCTACGCCCAGAGTGCAATACAAAATATTGTCACAAAGCTCTTTCCAAACGGAGCTCTAAACAGCATTAATGACGTAGAGAGTAATTAATGGTTCTGAAAATTTTTTAATAGGAGAATTAACAAATAAAATACCTTTTGTTTGTCACAGAACCTACGAGCGAAGGCATGGAAGTTGATGTCGTTGGGCCGAGGTCTACTGGCGCTAGGAAGACTGCTTGTCGAAGACATTCAAGCTCTTCTTCAATGGGTTCTCACAGGAGCCCCAGAGACTTGCCTTCCCAGAGGAGCCCAGCACAGCCCGTCATGATGCGTTCTTCGTATCACGACATGTCGCCGCATCCCATGACACCAATGACGCCTACCACACCAACAAACAACAACAATAACAACAACAATAATATAGGGAAATACCCCATGATGGCAGAACAGGGCCACTTCCTGTATCCGTCGCCTGAGGCCTATGGAGCGAGGTATAGTTATGGGCCCAGCCAAGGTAGCTTGATGCCCGCTATGAATCATGGAAACAGCTTTGCCCCGACCAGTGGAAGTGAAGGGGGAATTGCCATGGGAGACTTTGACATGTCGAGCAGTTATGCGACAGATGGAACTGGGTATGCCGCTGGTCGCTCTAAAACCAGTATGGCGGACTCCAGCTACGCAGTTATGAATCCTGCAGCCAACATGGCGGCTTATGATTACAGGGGAATCTCTTCAATGGACCATATGAAGCATTATTCTCAGTACCCTCTCTCGGAACGAAGCTATCCTTCCAGTTACATGTTTCCAACGGCCGCAATAACGACAAACGCCATGTATCCTCTGTCAGGGGTCAGCGGTGGCACTAATGACAGGTTTTATCCGGATGTGCTCGAGGAGTTCGTAGATATGCAGGCTGCAATGCATCATGGAATGCCTCCCCGATCTGTGAGGTCCGATTATCCTTACACACCCGCAATCCTGAGCAATTAGATACTTTGGTTGATGTTGAGGAGAAACGTAAATCAACTGTATGGTATTCAAATTTTAATAGTCTTAATCGAAACTTGAAAAATATTTTCATGGAAATCTTTAGTATCTATTGAAGATCGTATTGCATATAAAAAATTATAAGAAGTTCTTGTAGAAATTTGGTGCCATACAATGAATGATGAAATCATATCAAAGACAAAATGAATTATTTTAACTTAAAACTTAGAATTTTACGGGGTTTACAAAATTTTTACCTCTGAGGATGAAATATTGTTTTTCAGATAGTTTGAAAATGACGCTGTTGTAGTTTGGACAACAACAAAAGTTGATAAAGTGATTTATTCACATTTTGTAGAATTGTGCTGGTAAAAAGACGCAAGAGTACAATATTATTTAAGAATACGATATTTTACCAGCTTAATCACGAAGTGAGAGGAATCGATTTTAGATAATTTTGAACGTTTCTCGTTACCTACAGGAGACGTCCCAGTATACCAAAATGTGAATCAATGTTCGCATCCGAGCAACTGCGCACCTACTCCCCCCCCCCCACTCTCACCCAGCAACAGTCAATTTTTAATAGCTTAAGTTATGTTGAGGTGAGGGGGGGGGGGTTAGGTGAACAGTTGTTCAGATACTGACATTGATCCCAAAATGTAACTTTCACGTAGTTTTCTTCGTAGCCATATTTTGAGCTCGTAAATCAATTATCTAAATACGAGGGAAAATTTCTTGCATGCATGTTCGTGTATTTTGCGATGTAATATATTTTATGTAAAAAATCTAACTATCAACTGCAGCATCAAAGCTACTATGGAAATAATCTATCGGTTAATAAATCAATTAATTTGAACAACGTCAGGGACCGGTCAATATTTATTATCGGAGGGGGGGGAAGGGTCGGAGGATTTTGATTTTGGCAGTTAATTTTCAATTGTTCCCCTTTCTACTCTGTTGGCGACGACTGATTCCCTCCCTGAAAACCATGTGACTCCCCCTCACAAAATCCTCCACACCCCTTCCCACCCCATGATAAATAATAAATGATGCTTTAAAGATTACGTTTATAGCGTCAAATGAGTAGAAGTAAAACTTTCCTAGCGACTGTTTGAGTCGACCGTGAGACTGGCCATGTGCCTATTGTCAGATGAAAAATATTTCGTGTTGAACTAAAGGAACAAAAAATGTTTAGCGAGTAGTAGGTTTTGATGTCAAGGAATAATTCATCTAAGAGGGACAAATAAAAAAATGAAACCAACTACATTTTTGAATGGATTATTACGGTTTGATGTCAGAGGCGGATTGAGAAAAATAAACAAACAAATAAAAGTGACTTAACCATTTGTCGTGGGTCACGAATTTCGAAACAAACGTCGCGAATTTCTTTTCCGTCCCTGCAGTCCTTAGTCCACGCGCGCGTAATCCAACAATTGCGAGGGACTAATGGAAAATAAAGAAATCACGTGGAAAAACCTTGGTCATGGGCTGAATAGTTCCAAAGCTTTTCTAGGAAATACACCAAAATTCATATCAAAAGAATGCAACTTTATCAACTTTATTAAAGCCTTTGATATATAATGTTAAACTAAGATTTTTTGGCATATCTCTGAGTGATTTAGGTCGAAACGACTGAAAATTCCCGCTTTTCAGCTGTTACAATCGGCAGCGATTGCTTTTATGAAGCAAGTTCAAAGGCAAACGTTTTCTTCAAATAGCTTCTAATGAGAGAATTTCATAATTATCCACAAATGATTTTCGACATTTTTGTGTGTTCCACAGCGGCGCATATATATCTAGATTAGGAAATTTATCAAAGTTATAGTCAGTTAATCATAGAATTCCAGAAACGCTTCGGACAACAACGATCAAAAGGCGACAGAGTTTGAGTAAAAAGTAGACGAGCAAGAGAGAGAATTAGGGAACCTTTAAAAGCGCTTTGCGTCCTATTGTCTGGTGAACAAGAATGACAAATGCTACAAATACATATTAGGTCGGCGCGGAACGTTTTAAGCAATTATGAAATTACTAAAATGTTCCATTAAATCTGGTTCGTTTGAAAGATTTATCATCAGGAACTGACAATATTCTTGATATAAAGATGTTCATAAAACGAAATGACACGAAATGAAGAAGAAAGGCTACTCTAGGCCAATACCTGGCGGCTATTTAAAAATGTTTTTGAAATTTCCATTCACTCCACTGGATATGAACTGTAGACGCAACAAATAAGCTCACAGAGAAAAGGTAGATCGAGTCGCAGCGGCATTTAGCATCACCTCCTTCTGTTCTGCTGAGTTTCTTCTGGTAACCATCTTCAGAGTGCACGGTTTTCTCTCGTATTTTATGAGAGGACAAGTTGATGCCACAAGAATATCAGAATGTGACAGGGACCTTAAGAAAACCACGACGGCGACAGCGACGAGGACGTGGCTAAACAAAAGATCAAATGAATAGAATAATAGCTAGGCTCGTGCGTTCAAATCTTTGTTCATTTCCTAGCCGTCCTCTACATGACAACAACGTGAAATCATTTTAGTTTGCTCGGTCTGAGAACAGAAACCACGCCGGACGGCAAATTATCTAAGTTTCCATTTGGAACTCATCGCTGCTCACATACGTTAAACTGAAGTTGGAGTGCATGAGGGGCCACAAGAGACAGTTAAGACATCCAGCCTTTTGGAAAATTCTGACTTAAAGTATTCATCTATTTTTTAATCGACGCCCTCCTCGGTGTTTTTGCCCTGACTGCTTAAGGTCCCTGTGCTGTATTGTTGTTAGCATAGCACGGGTAAGAATGCCTTCAAACGTTACCCTCTCTACCATACCGACGCATACCATTTATCAACCTTAACCTAATTCAGCGTCAGTTCAATATTGTGCATCTAATCAAATTAAGAGACAGTACTTGAACGCCAGCGTCAAAGTACTCGGAAAGGAAAAGAAAACAGTTCAGTAATCACATTCAGTCATCTTCTCTTCCAAACAAAATCAAACGATCTTGAAGTTGGTCTCTGTCCGTCTCCTCGACGATCTCGAGACAACTGTGCCATGGACGTCTCCAAGTCTACCAGCCTGTCGGAAAATTCCTCTCTTTGTCGTTTCATTTCTTCCATCAAATCCACGCGTTCCCTCTCAAGAGTGGCTATCCTTTCCTCTAATTTAGCAAAAACTTTGCTCTTCACTCTTAGATCCGTATCGGTTCCATTTTCATTAGCTCTGTTTTTATCATGTTTGTTAGAAAGCAATACGCTGGTCCTTCGTTTGTCATTCTCTAGACGTTGTTTAGCAATATTCTCAATTTTCGTCTTTATTTCTGAATACTCGTCAAGCACTTCCATCAGATCGTTTTTAGACAAGCAAAATAACTCCGAATAGCCAACGGAGCGTACCGAAGCCGTTCGACGATTTCCAGCAGCACTCATACACAGAACGCTAATCTCGCCGAAGTAACTCCCGGCCTCTAACACAGCGTACACTTTGGTGCCCGTCTCCGACACCACCTCCAGCTTGCCCCTATTCACGATATACATTTCTCGGCCAACCTCGCCTTTTCTGCAAACGTAATCTCCTGCAGATAAAAGGGAAGCAATTCAGAATCCGCAATAAAGAGGGGCATGGGAACGATTTTTCAAAGTTGTGGGGGGGAGGGGGGTCATAATTACAAATGTCTGTGACTTGTAACGTTGTGCTTCCTTCTGCATCAGCCAGCTCGTATTCATGCGGCAGGAAGGTCAGGCAAATGAAGTCTATAAATATTTTATGCCATATAGAATTTTCGTCTTGGCGTGTTTTTCATAACTGAAGTGTAAGATTTGTATGGTATTGCGAGGCAATTTAGTTGAGATAAGGCTGTGCTTAGAAAGAAAACCAGCCTTCCAGAGCAGAGGGGTTGTTCCAAGGGCGGGGCAGCTTGCTCCCGCTCTTTTTATGATAAATTCCTTTAAGTCAACACCATTCAAATCTTATCCTTCAGATGTGCGAAAACGCGCAAATCCGAAGAATGTAACCAGTCCTCTTTTGAACTGGACAACCTTGCATGAAATATCGTGATTCGTTGGTAGTGAATTTTCAATCTATCTACCAAGCTCAATAATTGTTTTACCATTCGACAATCAAGTTTATTTTTCATGATTTTTTTCCTAAAATCACACTCTATCAGCTTGAGAAGCGATTAGCCCGCTTTTCCATAAAAGATATTTGGTGCAACTGCGCATAAGCAGAATATTATTCGCAGCGAGACATAGTCAAAGTGTATAACGCATGGTCAGCCTATTAAGTGCAAGTCACTAAGTGGGTGTTCGGCCAATGAAAAGGAAGAATGTTACCTGGGGAGAACAACTGAGGACGGAGACGCAAGACCAGCTCGCTAAGAAATCCTGCTTCACAATCTTGAAATATTTCGACCTTTCTCAGTGAATCGAGATGTACATGGATCGCCAACTCTGCCCTCAATTTATCAGGCAGTGACTGCAGGAGTTCCTCTTCGTCGGGATGTTTTTTGTTCATCCACAGATAGTCAAACCATTTAATTACACGTTGTTGTAGATGCTGCGGAATCTTGTGAAAGCGCATATAGGACTTAATCCCGTCCATCTTATTTTGGAAATCCACTTTAGCAGCATTCTGATTGGTAATTATGCTGCCAACGTTTCCCACAATGGTAGCGAAGAGCAAAACGCCTGTAATAGAAGACGTAAACATTAATCAGTTCGCAAGTTTTGCTGACCTTTATCTATAGCGTGTGCAGATCAATGTCGGTATCGGAGCAACTGCAATCCTACCCCTCCCCAAGTTAGGGTTAAAGTTGGGTTAGGGGAGGAGTAGGTGCGCAGTTTCTCAGGCATTCCGCGTGTATTGCCAATTAACAAGCAGATTCCATGTTTCCGTGCGTCTGTTCTGCATTACATCACAGATGACGTCAAAATGCAGTAAGAAAAAAAAGTGGCACACGAAGCGTAATTGCGTCACTGATGTTCTTACCACATAGTAAAGTCTCCTGTGATCTGCGACTGAAAACACCCACGGTAACATGGGGTCTACCTGTGTTAAATTCACCACTTTACAGGTCAGTTATTTGGAACTAACATAATGAACAGCTCCCAGTTGGCTTGTTAGCTCAGTTAGTAGAGCGCTGCACCAGTATGGTAGAGGTCATGGGTTCAAATCCCGTACAGGCCTGAATTTTTTTTGAGGCCTTATTTTCACTACTACTTACGTAGTGTTCATTACTGCGAAGATCGCATCCATATTCATTTAAATTATAAAATTATCAAAATATCGTTAACGTCACATCATCTATGCGTTTAACCTCCAATAGATTACACGTGATAACCAATAAAAATGCTTGTATAATCAAGCGTAAGATATAATAAGGCTTGCCTGTGCATCTCCATACTAATGAAGGTCAATAGTGCTTCAAGTTGAGTCTAACGAATGACACCAAACTTACCTATTAAATAGTCGATTATGACTATTATAAATTCCACATTAGTATGTGGCGGTGGAACCTCACCAATCGTAGTTAACGTTAAAGTCGACCAATAAAAGGAATAGATGTATTTCCTCGTGAGAGACCTGTGCATTTCAGTCATATTAGCGTTCCCTTTTATTCCGGGGTATACCCAGGGGTCCTTTCCAAATCCAATTTTACGCGACACTATAAAATATATACAGGCGTTCCAATGGATTATAACCAGAATAAATTGCATCAGGGACGCAAGTCTGAACAGGTTCGGATAACTTGTTCTGCTCTCGGTACGATCCAGAAAATGCCAGAACCGGTGATACTTGATAAGACGATTCATGCGAATAGCCGGCTCATGCGCGATGAAAATATATGCTAGGTCTAATGGGATTATGGACGCGGCGTCCATATAAAACTTCGACGTTCGGAGGTAGTGACGCCGCATTTTTTTGATGTCTTTTTGCATGATACCATCTTCCATGTAGCCTGTTCTGGAGCTGACGAAGATGTCTACAAAGTACACGACGTCACAGAGATAATCGATTGCTATCCAAACGTATTGATGTTTCTTATGGAGTTCGGGGAAAGACGACCTTAATATAAGAACCCATGAATTGTACACAACCGCTACAGATACTATTAAGAGCCAGTAATAGAGCCTGTCACCTACAACGGAGAGAATGAAGAGGAAACACAGTCAATAATTTCATTCAATTTTTTAATTCCAGATACTGGATTCTGCTTTACCTCATTTTGATCAAAAAAATAAAAACAAAAAAAGTAGCCTGTTTTTTGGAGCACTTGTGTAAAAAGAGGCAACTAAACGGAATTACTCTATTGGTTGGGAATAGTTCTTAACTAAAAATGAATGCGACAGTCATCAAGTTAAAAGTGTAAAAAAGGACCTGAGGTAGCGAGGAGGCCCATGAGAAACCAGAGGGCTTTAACATGATGGGTTCCCTCTTAGTCTCGTACCCAGACTATCCACGGCTAAGCGGTTGTTAGGTCCCTACATTTTAGTTACACTGTTGGTTTTGGGCACAAGATTAGCTCCCTCTAGTAAATATCATCATCACAGTTTAAAGGTTGAATAGTGACGAATTAATGGTAGAGTAGAAAAGTTATTTCAATTCACTTCGATAGTCTTTAAAAGTCTTCATTTGAAGTTTTTGCGGAGCACCCCTGGAAAAAAAGTTGGTGAATGCCCCCTCCCCTCTTCCCTCAATAACCCCCCCCCCGGGCATTTTATTTTCCGGCCCACTCAGCATGGAGCAGATGGTTGATTAATTATCCAAAAATACTTTTATTTCACCATAATGGTGTAAAGCAAAAGTTTTGGACCATCTGTCCGAGATTACTCAAATAAAGGTAGGCAGCAAATAATCCTACGATAAGAACATGATTTTACAACACATTTAAAGAAAAGAGCAAACGAGATGTTATTTCAAAATATATTGAATATATTTTGTTTGTGTCGGGGATAAATACTCCTTCCACATAACTTAAAGACCATAAGGCGATCAACCATTATTTTAAACCTCTGTATTAAAGGGAAGTTCGAAAGAAGAAATTCACCGTTTACGCTCGAAAGCAAACTTTAAATGTAAGTTATTCTTTTTTCCGAAAATGAAATTGCAACCAAAATGCCATTATAAGACTGTTTTGCGATTGATAAACCATACTATTTTGAAATTATCTAACGCGTGATTAAAATTCCATTTAAAAGAAGGTAACTACGGCTATATTATGTCTGGCGAAACAGAAATTTGCAAAGCAAATTCGAAAAATCCCTCTAGTTCTTTTGGACATCTTTGGCTAGATCCTCCGTTTGATATACCAGCCGTTTAGCCATCATACCGCACGTCGCTCTGACTCGATTTAACTAACAGTTGATCAATGATATTAAAGAAAACATATCTCTCATCGGTTCGATTGTTAGTTTTATATAAATTTTATCGACATAAGGTGATACTTTTAGTGTTAGCGAGGAATTAAAAGATGATTTATCATTATAATTTTCCGTTATTTATTCAGCACATTTAACATAGAAAATTATCATTGAGAATTCCAGAAAAATGTACGAAAAGATATAGCGCAATAGGCACGAAAGGTGATCTGAATTAGTGCCAAAGACCACATTGAGGTAATCTTGAAATGAGCTGACCATATGATGTACTGAGGTGATATTTTACATTTAATTTACTTGCTAAGGAACAATTTTATAATATGATCTTGACTATATAGATTACTAGATATCATCTCATGAGCTAAGTCAGTTAGCAACGTTCCGAGATTTTGACGCGACGAGAACTATTTATTTATTTTTACACAGTAAAAAGAATTTACCCACCGGTAAATGAATTAGATTTTTTTCCGTACCTAAAAAATTAGGTTATTTTCTTTGAAAGAAAAATTCAAGAAAATAATTGAAGTCGACATGACTGATTCACGAGCTAACTATCATAACTCTGTATTTTTACCTCCAGGGTCGAAGAATCTCAACCATCCGACTTTTGTCTCTCCATCGCCGAGTAATCCAACGGAAGGGATCCTTACTCGGTTCAGGAAGGCTTTCTCGGCCTCACTATACCTTCGACCTCCTTTATACCAGTACCGAAGTAGTCGCTTGTGGCGAATGTCTGCTTCTTCCTCCTCGCTGAACGTGTCCGTGTTTGCCGAAAAGCGAACTTTCGATGTCCTATTTGCCGTTCCTTCGTTCATTTTTCTTTCGTTCTGAGTGTCGTGTGGATCTGAAAAAGGAGGAAAAGTACGCGGTTGTTTACGAGTACGCATCTGAGATAGACTTCAATAAAGCTGCGCTCATTTGCATCCTGTAGATGTCTGCTATTTAAACATCATTTACTTGAAGAGGTAGGTTTCTTCTGCAATGATTTCGACGCGAATTTGCCCCTAGTGGGTTCGGTTACCGCCGGTCAGTTTCACGAATATTATTGAAAATGGTTGTCAAATGACACTTAAAAACCTATGCTCTGAGAGCATGAACGGAAAACCCTCTGGCCCTCAGACCTGTTATACAACTGACAGCAAGAAGGCCAAAAAAAGACTGACGAATTAAGGAGCGGAACTTACACACAGTGAATACTTAACATTGATCTACCATCCATTCAGGCCAAATTTCTTTTTGTTTAAGTGTGACAATGATGAAAAAGGAACTTGGCATTTTTTCTTGAGTCTTAAACAAAGGTGCACTTAAGCGAGGATAATTACGCATGAGTATAAGAAGCTGATTTCAATAGACCTCCTGTCAAAAGCGAAAAATACTCCTACCACGAAACACTTTTCTGTTTAATTCCAAACAAAATGAACTGAGTTTTAAAGAAGACAAAGCAAAGGTTAGTAAAGACACTGGTGAGCGAGTAAGGTTTTTTTTATTCACCTCTACGGTTTGTCATAATTTTTTATATACAATACTCATCTAAGCGGAAAAAATTCTGTATCGTGAAATTAATATACTTTCTGGCGATAATCAACCTAGAGTAAGGAGTAATGACAGGAAAGATAAATCAACTTTTAGTATATTGGTATTTACAACCAATTTATATAGCTGAAAAAAAAGGAATTTGTCTCTGCTACAAAAAAAAAGACACAGCCTGTACTAAACATTTTTCATGTCCGAGCACAGTAAGCTGTCATTGTAAAACATAACTCGCTTATCTTAAGCATAATAGTTTAGTCCCGTCGGAAGACCGATCGTTTTCTGAATATTTCTTAAAATAAGTATACTCCAATTTTTCCTTGACCTCATTGGTCTATCTCTATGCGTGCTTTTAGCGTCGCCGATCTCATCCGTTCACAGCTTGTGTTACCTTATCACAGACTTGATATTGAGAGAAAAGTAAATAATCGGCTTAGCTAACGAACTGAGTGAAGGCATCGAACTTAATCTGCGCATGCTCGTGTGTCCTGCAGCTGTTATCGCAGGTGATAGCGTCAAACTGCGCATGTTTGGCTATAGCGGCTAAAATGTGATTGTCATTGTGAGTCATCAAAAAATATATGGTTTTAACTTTTGTAAAACCCGTTTTAAGTTGGTGCATAGGCAATCTCGCTTGATATGACAGTCAAGACCAAGGTTAATCCTGTTTACCACATTTAAAATTATTATTCGCTAAATGTGAGAGAAAAGTAGATTATGTATTTTCGTTTTGTTATCAGAAGACATCCTTTGTCTCCATATCGAGGTCAGGTTGAGAAGTCTTCGACCGAATGGTTTTTTTTTAGCGAGGATTTTTTTTTCGAATATTTACAAGAGCACTCGTCGTTCCTTCAAGGTTTGAGCTCTGGGATCTTTATATCGTTGAATTCTCTGCCAATTACGGCTGCCTCTTTTTTTCGAAAATGCCTATCAGTGTTTATGAACGAAGGCAATAATAATAAAATGTGAAATAATTGAGTGAATTATTCATGCATCTGATATATTTTCCATACCACGAAAAAATCGAATAATCATTAAAGAACTGCCAGTGCAGTTCATAAATTACTCTTAGATTGCAATCAAATATCTCAACCTGGTGAGAAATTTTAAGTAGATTTTCGAAAAGAAGGGGGGTGATCTAAAATTGACAATTTACAGTAAGGTTGAGTTATTTTCCTGTAGAAAAAAATATGACCTCACGTAATCTTTATAGAATTTTGACGCTAATATGGCATTCTGACTTTTATCGTGTACACTATGAGGAACAACATACCAAAGTAGAGCCCAATGTTTCATTTGCATTTTCGTCGCGGTTTAGCTAGGCACGTCGTGGAGTTCGTCAGTCAAAAAAAGTTTTCAGCATATACATTCCTTTTGTTTTTGCCTTTTCCTTTCCAGCAAGAGAATTTATCCACTCAATTTGGAGGAAAGCAATGCCAATGTTCTTGCGACCATGACGACAATCTGGGAAGAAGTGTCTCTAGCTTTTTTATTAAAGGGGGAACGTCGATCGTACGATTGGGTTGCAGCGCACGCAGCTGCCGGCAGGCATTGCCGGCGTTTGCTCATTCTATTAAAGTTTACTTATTCTGCCTCTGCATGAAAAATTCATAAGTTTGAGAGATTGTTGTGATAAAAAGATCTATCATTTACTATGGAAAATAGAAAGAGTAGTTTGGCCCTAACCAAATTGAATAGCCATAAATCACAATCCTCAAGGGAAGAGGGAAAAGAGTGGAATTTTTTTAACGTTAGCATAAATGACTGGTCTTATGCGTTATCGTGAAATATACGAATTTTTCTTTGACGGAGAATTTCGCTCTGATTTTAATCGATTTCTCGCAAGAGGTAGAAATTAACATATTCAAACACACACGCTAAGCAGAGGAGGTTCGGCTAATAACAGAAATAAATTTCCTCCATAGCAAACTGAATTAAATATCACCAAGTCTATATTGAGCAGTTTTGGCCTCAATCTGATGAGGAATGCTTTCGACGCGGGGAAACAAATTGTCACTCGAAAAAAAAAATTTTTAGAATCAGGGAAAACTGATTTGCCATAGATGACAAAAAAGGCCTTAAATTGAGGTGAGAAAAGTACTTAATGGCTTCCAAATTTCATTGTTTTCTCTTTATAGCAGGATAAGAGGCTGATGTCAGAAACGCATAGGAAACTTGTAATATGGCAGGAAAACCAATTAGTAGCTCACCCTTACGATGTAGATTGCTTTTTGCAGATTTTAATCCCACACATTATGAATTTTTTGAATTAGCTATAGTTGAAAAAGAGAGAGCAATTTTCAAGATTGGACTCGATCGAGTGAACCACCGAGAAAGCGCCTCAGGCAACAGTCAATACAAAAGTTATTTCTTCAGGTGTTCCAAAATTGAGCATAAAATAAAACTGATACAAAACGCTTTCTGTCTTGGACAATGAAGTGATACAAAAAAAAACTCCCTACCCAAGAACAGCGGAAATTAAAATTTTATCAGATTCAATTTCGACCTCAGAGGGGGTTTTGTAGAAAACACTGCTTTTAGCGAAGATAAGATGCGATAAAAACCATCGGCGTACCTTTTGCTTCCATGACCCGGAGCGGTATTTGATGTCAAAACTTTGCGAGAGGAAGTTTCCACTGTCTTCAGTCAGAGTATAATTTTGTCAACATAAACTAGTGAAACACTCTCCAGGGTTAATCCGTGTAAATATTCGGAACCTTCTGCTTAGCAGCCGCATCTAATTTGCTTGATGAGCTGCGGCTTTAGTTTACATTCAGCAAGTGGTGATTCTTCTCGTGTTTGACACCCAAGCGCCAAGTTTTACCGCGTGCCCTTATTTCACATTCCGGAGAAATGACAACTTTTCTTGAGTAATAGGTCGAGGCAAGCGTTTGTATTTGTCCTAAAGCCAAAACAAATTCATATTACAAAACAATATCCGGTAGATAGAAGAATTTACTTGCTCTAAAACCTTTTATTTGCATTGTGGAATAGAAACATTTGTCTTTAATTGGGATTCATCACTCGAGAGAGCGCTTTTAATAAGGCAAGAGTTACGAACTTGTCAGGTGAGATCAGAGACAAAAAGATACGACACCTTGAGGGTAACTTGACACGAGAAAAACCTATGAAATGAAGCTACACAATAGGTGTCTGCCGCGAAACCTTTCAAATGTCTCAATAGGTTAAAAGCTTTTGAATATCGTTGTAATTTCTCAAAGAGGATTTTTACCGATAAAGCTTTTGGCTCAGACGAGGTGAGTTTTTTTCTTCTAGATTGCTACATGAAAGACTGCCACAAATCTCGGTAAAGAATGCTTTAAAAATTTTTTCGTACTTTAAAAAAAAGGAAAATAATGTTATAAACATGTTTTACTTTAGAAGAGCTCGTATTGTGAAACCTTAATCAGATTGCCCAAACACTGTACACGATCAATATTGTTTGAAATGTCGTTTGTGTCACATGAAAATTTTATTTCATATAACATTACATGTTGGATATGAACAATCATTAAAGTATTCGTCTTAACATGATCCAATACCGTGGATTATCAGTGTTACATTGAATTCGTAACGGAGTCAGTCGCCGGGAAAAAAAATGCGCTTTTAAAAAACCATAGATTACATTTGAAAAAATGTATCAAACTGATTTTTTTTCTTAATATATTTCTTTCGGCAAGACCAATATTACCTTCCTCGTCAAATAGACCACCCCGGGCACAGTTTGTGAAAGATTTATTCACGTCAGGTAAGTTTTTTTTTTTAATTTTGGTATGTAAATAGCATCAGCTGAGCATAAGTCTTCATAACGATATAAAAATCAGATAGGGCTGAAGTTTTCTTAAAACATCCAAGAGGATAATAGTTATGCTTTAAAAAAATTCAGAATTGTATTCTATCGTATAATTCACCTTTTGTCTATTTTTAGTTAATAGCCCCGCGGCGTAAAATCTTGTCGTAAACATCTGTTTTATGATGCATTTTGATCATTTCATAAATTATGTAAAATTCTCTCCGTATAAATTAGTGCAGATTTTCCCTTCATCTCAAGCATTAATCACACCAGCGCCTTACCCTCGCATACATTTATTAGCAAAAACGTCCAAGTTTGGATTCCCCAAACTCCACGACACATGTTCCAAATTTCACGATCTCAGTATCGCAAGGTGATGCTATTTGCTTGTTGCTGTTTGAAAGTAAAATTAGAAAAGTGTTCCATCGTATAAGTGACTGATTAAGGAGTAATGCAGAATATAAAAGCATCCTCTTCTGGTTAAAGGTAATG